ATTCTGGACTCGACCACACAGAGTGCGGGGACCACGAGTCGGAAGACTCAAGGCTTGCCACGTAGAGGAAGATAAGGAATGCGAAGAGGCGCATTAGGAGGAGGGTAAAGGCCCAACAACTATCAAGCCCAGAAGAAGATAAAAGGCCACCTTTAGAGAACTCTGCCGAGGAAGCAAGGGCCCCAAAAGGCCTGGCGGACAAGGCGGAGAGTCGTGAAAGGGAGGCCTTAGATCAAGGGCAAACATCTAGCGAATTGGAGCCTACTCAAAGGTAGGCAGTGGATGATGCAAGGGCCCCAAAAGGCCTGACAAACGAAGCTGCCGCGCGGGAGGGTAAAGCTCCAATAACACAGGCAGGGGATGAGAAGGACACACCCAAGAGGCCAGCATCTAAGTTTGCGAGGCCACGTAGGCCAGCAGCTAAGAGTGCGAGGCCTCAAAGGTTGAGGTCTAGATCAAGACTGCCTGTGGAAAAAAGAGCTAGGAAATCCCTAGGAGCCTCAGCTATGGAAGCTAAGAAACCGAGGGAGGCTGAAAGGCCTAGAAACTACGCAAAGGTTGCACAAGGACAGTTGGTCGCGGTAGTTCCTGTCTATTACCCGCAGATCCAGCTTACCTATGACCAATGCGAAGATCTTAAAGAAGCAATCGCCAGTAAAATTGACGAGCTCACAATAGGCGGAGACATACATCCAAAGTTCGACGGGGCGCTTTTTAAGCTCGGAGGATGTCTTGTATCCTGCCTAGACAGCCATACGGTAGAATGGTTTAAAAGCATAACACCGAGCATCACAATTAAGGAAGGATTAACCCTACGAACTTGTGAAGCAGGTGATCCAACAAAAATTATCAGGATTGGAGCCTTCTTTCCAGGAAAGGCACTACCTGCTGATTATTATTTAAACCGGCTCCAGATTCAAAACCAATCTATTACTGGGATCAAAACCTGGACCGTGTTTAACTTCAAGGCTCTGGAAAGAGGATCCTTCGGAGTATTTAACATACCGGAGACCAGCCTCCAGAGCCTCACTGAACATGGAATGCAGGCCTGCTGTGGGATATATGTTATCACCTTCAGGTTCTTGGCATCAGGAAGTAAACCTGCTCCGGAGGAAATGAAAGAGGAGGCGCCGAAAGCAGGCACATCAAAGGAGAGGGAGAACAAGGAATCTTCCTCTTCGGGAAGGAGTGCGTTGAGGACGGGGTCGAGGCCGTCGGCCGGGTCAGGAGGCGGGGCTAAGGCAAAGGAACCAGTGAAAACTGGTTACAGAGGCGAACCCAAGCCACTGTCGCGGTCAGGTGGCCAGACCTCTGTCTCGCAGCACTCATCTAACACTGGTGGGGGTTCGAAAGCGAGGTCGAGAGGCGGGGAGAAACCTAAAGACAAAGTGAAAACTGAGTCTGATGGAGGAACCCTACCATCGGCCCCGTCTGGAAAACCACCTTCCAGAAAATAAACAATCAAAAATATATGAAACTGCTGCAGATCAACATCCACCACTGCATTGCGGCATGTGGAGTGTTGCAACAGTATATAAAAGGTAATGATATTGATATAATATTAATTCTTGAACCTTACCTATATGAAGGCAGGATCAAAGGACTTAATATGCATGGGTATGGAATAATATCTGCACCCACATATCCTAGAGCCTGCCTTCTTTTTAAAAACAAACTAAAACTGCTGCCTCTATGGCAATTCTGTTCTAGAGATCTTGCAGCAGCCAAATATACCCAACAAGGGTATAACAAATCATTAATCATAGCGGCGGTTTATCTGCCATATGAACATCCAGAACCTGCAGAAGGAATGGATGAACTACTAAAGAGTAAGGAGGAAATTGTTGCTGCCCTGGATGCTAATGCACACAACGAGATCTGGGGAAGCACAAACACCAACTCAAGAGGTGAGAAACTCTTAGAGACTATTATTAAATATGATCTTGATATTCTGAACAGGGGGAATAAGCCTACCTTTTGTAATAGAATTAGGACTGAGATCATAGACATAACACTAGCGACTCGATTGACTAGTGACCTTATAGATAACTGGCATGTCTCTGATGAAGAAACATGCTCGGATCACAGGTATATCAGGTTTGATATATCTGACAGAATACAACATGATGTGGAATATAGAGACCCCAAATGAACAAACTGGGTGTCCTATAGTTCAAACTTGGAGGAGGCTGTCAAATGCTGCCCCAAAGTTATCGACAATACATGGCAATTAGAAATATTAAATACTTCAATTACTGATGCTATGACTAGAGCATATTTGGCCAGTAATGAAGCCAAAAAACTACAATCAACAGGAAAGTGTGCTGGTGGAATGATAGTCTAACAAAGCAAAGAACACTCATGAGGAGACTGTTCAATGCTTCTAAAAAATCTGGCAATTGGGATACCTATAGGAAATCTCTTACTGAGTATCACAAATCTGTCAGGAAAGCCAAAAGACAAGCCTGGAAAAGGTTTTGTCTGGAGGTGGACAACATGCCGGCAGTATGTAAGGTAAATAAAATACTGTCAAAACAAACCAACACAGGTATAATGGGAACACTCAAATATAACGACAAGCACACCACGAATGAGATGGAAACATTGAGTGTGGTAGCAAAAGCTCATTTCCCAAATTGTTTTACGACAGTAAATGAACTTCTTGACCCCAATACACAGGATCGTGGTACTGGTGCACGTATGTGGGGTCTGGCAAGAAGAGTGATAACAAACAGTAGACTTGAATGGGCAGTGAATTCATTCTCTCCTTTCAAATCTGCTGGAACTGACGAGATCTTTCCAGCACTGCTGCAGAAGGGTCTCCCAGAGATAAGGCCATACCTTCTGGAACTTCTGAGAGGTACTAGCACTGGGATATCTACCATGTAAATGGAGGATATCCAAAGTGCGATACATTCCTAAACCAGGAAAGGAATCTTATGAAGACCCCAAGGCATTTAGGCCAATATGTCTGTCATCTTTCTTAATGAAGACATTGGAAAAGATACTGGACAGACATATTAGGGAACACATATTGGCTACTAGTCCAATACATTCAAAGCAATATGCCTACCAACCAGGAAAATCCTGTGAGGTGGCGCTTCACAACTTGGTAACAAGAATAGAGAAATCCTTAGAACAGAGTGAAATCATGATAGGCGTCTTCGTTGATATCGAGGGTGCCTTTGATAGAACCCCCTATAACATCATAAATGATGCGCTAAGGAAAAAAGACATAGACGCTATGACCTGCAGATGGATTGGGAGAATGCTGGAGGACAGAGTTCTAAAATCAGAAATAGGGCACAAGGAACTGTGGATTAAACCCTGTGGTGGATGTCCACAGGGAGGTGTGCTCTCTCCGCTACTGTGGTGTTTTGTGGCTGACTCACTATTGGAAGCCTTAAACACTGCAGGCATTTATGCTCAGGGATATGCTGACGATATTGCCATCCTCATAGGAGGGAGGCATCAGAGTGTCCTCTCTGATATCCTTAGTACAGTGTTTAATATTCTTAGGAATTGGTGCAGGACTAAAGGACTAAGCATCAACCCTAGGAAAATCAATGTGTGTATCTTCACTAAGAAGAAGAAGGTGGCTATAAAAATGCCAGAAATCAATGGTATCCAAGTGACATTGAGTAAGGAAGTAAAACACCTTGGAGTCACTTTGGACCATAAACTGACATGGACTAAACACGTTCAAAACGTGACAAGTTAAGTCCTCAAATACCTATGGGCCTGTAAAAGAGTGATAGGAAAGAATTGGAGACTAAAACCAAAAATGGTATATTGGCTGTACACAACGACAGTCAGACCTATCATACTTTACTCAGTTTTGCTATGGTGGCACAAAGCAAAGACTGTGGCCAACTTATCCTTATTAGGAAAGACTCAAAGGCTTGCTTGTATAATGATAAAAGGCGCGATGAGCACGACACCGACGGCTGCTATGGAGGTGATGCTGGGCATGCCTCCGCTGCAGCTGGAGGTGGAGGCTCGGGCAACAAATACATTGTACAGGATAAGCAAGTCAACTTACTGTTCAACAGTCCTCTGTCAGGCAGGACATACAATACTGCTGAACAGGATTGGATGTGAAGGAGTACTAGCTATGCACTCTGACACTCTAATCCGAGAATATCAGGACCAAAAATATAAGGTTGAGATAGATAGCAGCATGACATCTCTGATTACCATGACATCTGGACACTTTGAGAGATTTGAGAACCTGAAAACCGAGACTAGTGTATTCCATGCACCAATGGGCTCGCTAGAAGATTAAATACAAAACAGTAATATTTTAGGCGATGAAGCAGAAATATTGGAGAGATGGGTCATTTCCATAGGACATCTTAGGTGACGTTCAAGAGGTAGAGGAGCTGGAAAATGAGGGAATGCTGATCAGCAATGCATTAGAAGACTTAGATGAAATAGTCATTCACTCAGCAATAGAAGAGATAATTAATAAAATCATCTCCCAGGTTAAAAACAAAGTTCCAGGTATGGACAAAATCCAAAATGAGATGATAAAAAAATGTCTGAAGAATGGTCTAGAAGTAACTATAGTAGAATTTCCTCGATAAATACGTTATATAAGATATTATTGATTGCAATAAGCACAAGATTTACAAAGTTGGTGGAAACAGTTATGAATGGTTACCAGTATGTTAAAAAGTCACTCGAAACTGATGTTTTGTTTTATAAATATTTAAATGATTTCATATTGTTAAAATATTCAGATGTGAAAAACTATTATTGTAAATTGAGTCAAAATTTTAAAAAGTTCTAAAATTTGTGTTGCAATAAAAGTGAGTTTTATTTTAATCAGAGTACTCAAATTTATTTTAATCGAACCTAGAGATCAAATATAATGGTCAGTTATATATTGACTGGGAAGGTCAACTACTGACCAGATTTTGTTAGTATAGCAAATACTGGAGAAAGCCTACGAGTACAATATAACATTACATCATTTGTTTTCAGACTTCAGACATGCCTATGAATCAGTCATAAGTTAGAAAATGTATAATCATTTGAAGAGTCTAGGAACTCATAAGAACTCGATAAGTCTGGTCAGAATGATACTAACTGGTACACCCATTGGAGTACTTTTCATTCAATGGATATATAATATGATAATTCAAAATAGGAAGAGGCCTTATACAAGAAGATCCACAATCCACAGTGTTTTTTTAACCTTGTATTGGAAGCAGCCATGAGGAAAATAAAAGTTTGTATTCGTCACTTTTTTATCCGTTGCGGCATCTATAAAAAATAGTAAAATAAATAGAGTCCCCAGGAGAAAATAAAGAAGATGGATATATGGAATAAGCAATATTAGCTAAGATACATGCAGAAAATCGTATAACATAAGATAAAGACTTAAAGATGTGAAACAAGCTGATTAAAATGACAAAATATTACAACTCTACACAGCAAAAAAAACAACAAAAAAACACACACACACATATATATATATATATATATATATATATATATATATATATATATATATATATACCTACCTATAATTTAGTAACAGGTTATCTAGATCATTTTCATTGTAATAAACAACAAAATCTTTTGGCTGGACTCCTTCAAATATTGAAACTATACTCGATTTCAGATTAAAAAAGAAAAGTGGTTGCCTCCTTCTGGAAAAATCTTTAGTCAAAACTTCAACAACCTACAACAAATAATAAAAATAATAATTTAAAAATAGTGTAAATATGAAGAAATAATAATACTGTGATTTAATGAATAATAAGTAATCTATCTATCTTGTTGACCCTAAAACCCAACGGTGAGTCTTGGTCTCTTCTAGCTTAGCTTTCACAATCTAGATTGATTCATTGCCGCAGCGTTCCAGTTCATTGTTCTTAGTAGTATTCTGGAGTCAGCCGCCATGCTATCTATCCATCTTAGCCCGAGTATGCCTCTCCTGGTGCGGTCAATCATATCCTCAAGGACTCTTTTGGGGATATCACTCTCCTCCATCGGAATCACATGGGTGGCCATTTATGGGCCCAACTTAACCTTCCAAGTTTTATGAAGTCGATGACATTTAAGTAATTATACAGAATATATGTAATAATAAATAATATTATTATATAAGAGAAAGCAGGTTGAGGATTGCAGTCAGTTGAGGTACACAAAAATAAATTATACTTATTTTCTTTTAGTCGATATTTCAGTCTAGTTTCAGGCCTTCATCAGGACTAAGCAAAGACCTGACACCAGATAAATACTGAGAAAATAATAGACAGTAATAATAATAATACGTAGGTAAAATATACAGTAATATCATTATTTTCTCAGCATTGTATCTATGTGTTATCTGGTCTTTGCTTAGCCCTGATGAAGGCCTGAAACGTCAACGTAGAGAAAATAAATATAATTTATATTTGTGTACTTCAAATGACCGCAATCCCAATCAACTTCTCTTATAAAAATCAAAAGTCAACAATTCTCTACCATTATAAATAATATTGGCAAGAACTGTTCCTGGATCCATCACTGGATGATTTATCTTATAGAAGTTATTATAATATTATTATAATTCTTGATCATTATATCTTTTGCAACTCATTTTCTTCATTTAATCTCATATAAATTAATTTTTTGAATGATCTATAAAATATTTTTCATAGTTTCTTTTGAGATTTTTTAAAATATTTTATTTTTTCAAAAGCTTGCAGACCTCTAAAATAACCATGGGCTAGCCAGGGTCAACCAATTGAAAAATCTATGATTTGTAACCATAAAATTATTTATTGGCAAAATGCTGTCTTTTCTCTTTTTTTATTAAAACTAGGTAATTGTATTTTGGAAATAAAACTTTTTTTTTCTTACCCTTGGATTCTTTTGATATTTAAGAATTTAGAAATTATTGATAAAGATTAATATATAGCTATGAATACCTTAGCAGCGGTAAAGTCTGCTCCGTATATATGAGAACAGTCAATAACAACAGGTATGCCTTGTTTAATACTGTGCTTTGTTACAAGCCCACTCACATAATCAACTGATGGAAATATCAAACATCGATCAGGAGTAAGCAGCAAATAATCGACACCAGCTCTACTCTGAAACAGTTATTATAATCAGTTTTTGCTTTTTGTGCACTTTCATTTATTTATTCGCACCTGTCAATTACAATTATCAACAATCAGCTGATGTGCTGGCATAATCATGAGAAAAAAATATATACATATAAAACGGCTTAATAGGCATGAGGAAAAGCAATACTCAGCGGTATCCCTTCCATGGCTTTTATTTACTAAAACATTATTTCGGTAGATCCCTCATCCAGATCCTTTTCAGTCATCTCCTGGACTTCTTGGGCATACTAATTGTGGCCATTTCTTTCATCAGTTGGTTGGAGTGTCCATTTAACATATTACTAAATCGTTTGCAGTAAGTTTGTATGTGTTCGTTGACTGACGGAACATGAAAGTCGGGGTGTAAAGTGTGGTTGTTCAAGTATCATGGTGCTTGAATGATTAGTCGTAGTATTATTGACTGAAGAAAAGGTTGAATTCTTTTTATATGTGTTAGTTTCGCAATTCCGTGTATTTATAGTCCATAAGTCCAAAGAGGTTTTAATAGATATGTGTAAGTACTTAGTTTCTGCCTTGATTTAAATGATTTTAATTTGGAATGTCTTAAAAGTGAGTGTAACAATTTTAGTCTTAGATTTAATGTGACTTGGTTTTTCTTTACACGTTGACCCCATGTCATTTTCCCATGAAAGGAACGTAAGACCTAGGTATTGTACTCAGTCTGTTTGTGGAATTGGTATGTTGTCTAAGTATACAGCAGGGCATGTTTCTAGTCTTAGAGTAAATGTGATATGTTGTGACTTTTGATAATTTATTTGAATTTTCCAAAGTTTATACCAATCGAGTTTTATTTCTAAGTGACACCTGTGTTGTCTGCGTAGGTTGCTGTAAGGGTGTGGATACTTTGAGGACTTTGACCATATCAAACTGAAAAAAATCCATCTGAAAGAAAGGAATGAAGAATTATGTAGTAGGTATGTGGAAGTATGGTCTTAAGCTTTAAGAGAAGATCCTGATGCCACACTTTGTCGAATGCTTGGGCGACATCCAGAAATACTCCGATTGCAATAAAGTGTAATCTTGAATGTAAATTTTTGATCGAGAAGTCAGGTGTGTTTTTGTGATCCGTTTTTCGTGCAAGTGTAAGTCGAGTTATTGTGGGCTGTAATTTGGGCATCAGACCTGCGTGACCTGTGACAGTTGTTGAAGAAGAATGAAAAGAGGCTGGATTAATTTATTTAAGCCATTAATTATATTTAATAATTGGGAAGAGCCATTATCTACCAGAGAAACCAGCTGGTTAATGCCTCTCCTTGCGTACTTCTTTATTTTTTTGTATTAGGTCCTCCCTTTCCTTGCCTTTTAGGCTATACAGGGTTTTCCAGGGCCAGGGGGTGATGGCAGGGATTAATGGCACAGTTAAAAGACCCCCTGGCACCGGGACGCGAACTCGTGACTATTTTTATTCAGTTATCTTATATATCAGGTTGCCGGGCAACGGTGGTGCTGTGCACACACATTAGTCCATTGGGCCAACCTGTAGGGCGAATGTAAACCAAGTGTTGATCCTACTTTCCCACCAGTGAAACAAGCACCTCGCCAAATCCCTGTGCCACTAAGGAATAAACTCACGTTCAAGCTAACTCAAATGGAAAAGAGAGAGACCATCAAGAAGGAAACCAGACTGAGCGATTGGATTAGCAACTTAGTGTTAGTCATGACTCCCAAGAAGATGTGTATCTGCATAGATTCCAGAGATTTAAATCAAGCTTTGAAGCGAACAGAGTATGAGTTACCTACTATTGAGAACATAGACCCTGAACTGAATAATTCACAATTTTTTAAGATGGCATTTTGGTTTTAGGGAGAGGAACAACAGACAAAGAAGCTTCTGCCATTTTTCAAGATGGCATTTTGGTTTTAGGGAGAGGAACAACAGACAAAGAAGCTTCTGCCAATCAGGGCAAAGCCCTTGACATATCAGACATGTCAAGAACTAGCTGCTGCTCAACCCAAGCATCCTATGGACGTCACACCAAATTTCATCGGCCCATGGGAGGGAATCAATCTGGATACATTTAAGTTCAATTCTAACCAATATGTTGTGATGGTTAACTTCTACACTGACTATTTTGAGGTTGAACGAATCCCTAACACCAAAGCAAAAACCATCATTGCTTTTTACAAATGCAACTTTGCATGTCATGGAATTCTGTTGGTCTATGCTATTTCTACACCACTGATATCAAAGAGAATATGGAGTAGAGTGCCGGCTATGAGTTAACTTCTCATTCCTGATGTCATGAGAGATATACATGAAAGGATCGAGGAGAAGAGGAAAAGATCAAAGTTTTACTTCGATCAAGGTAGAGCCAAGGTGCTACCAGAACTTAAAATTGGGCAAGACCTATGTGAAACATCAAGACACTGGTAAGAGTTGGGAGCTTGGAAACATAGATCAGCAAAGATCTTCATATGTCTCTGTCAATTTTAAGGTCTACAGAAGAGATCGCTTTTGGCTGAAACCACATCAACCCATATCACCGTCTTGAGAAAATCGCCTCTCAATACAACCATCAATACCAAGATCGCCTTCACTGCAGCCTAGTTTGCCATCACCACAATCGAGATCATCTAGAAATTTACATACAACCAATCCAAAACCAATATCCCCCAGAAGATAAGTGGGATCTGAAAATCCTCGCTCTCTGCATCCTCAACACAAGAAACGAAAGAAGAATGGACTGATGGTCTTATCTCCAGAAAATGCACCATCATCAAATGTTTTGTTGTTTGACAGAAAAATTAAATCAACCTGACGTATGTTTCACTCTAACCAGACCCACCACTTATCAAAGTGATAACTAATTTAGTAAAAAAAAATAACACACTTTGTTTGAACTTTTGCTAATAATGTCCTTAATACAAAACTAAATAAAAAGAAGAGAATTGTTACATCAGCTATATCAACATGTTATCGATCATACATCAATTCTGCACAATAGATACTACTTAAAAGTAAATCAGTATCATGATTTAACATTATGAGACAATTCTATTTTATACTTAAATTGAGATATTGAAGGGCTTACGTTTCAATGCAATTAACAATATACGTACAGCATACTAATAATTCATACTGGTCAAGTGTATCTAAAGGAGTTAAATTTATAGTTCTTATTAAAATAATGGCAATTATTAAGGAATAATATTCCTTTTCTTACTAAGAATGGACTTAGGCCATTTTCAAAATTAATAAGATTCGTTATAAAACTTGAAGGAGTCCAAATCCGTTCAATGTAACTGAAGATGCTTCAAATTGAAAAAAAAATACTCAATTTATTTTATAATTATGTAGAGATGGTTGACCGTGATATAATATGAGAAGGAGTTGATCGGGGGGAGGGGGTGCGGTCAAATAAATACTAAATTATAGAAATAGTATTATTTAATTTTTTTGCCGACGTTTTGACCCACTTTGCAGGTCTTCATCAGGTCTTCATTCGTAAGATGTAGCACTGTGGGAGGCAGTTCAAACACTCTTTGCAGTTGATAATCTTCTGCGAGCAGTACGTTCAGAAATTTGCATACCTCGAACTTCTTGGAGCTGATGAATCACTTGGACAACGGTAAGGTGCCGGTTTCGTAAAATTCTCAAAGTCAAAAACCAGTCATACAGTGGTTCTGTTATCCTAGGCTGTCCAGAACCGGGCCTTCTATTGTAGGAACCATGTTGGAAAGGTTGGCTCTGGGAAAAATTACAGGCTGCATATCTTCCGTTTCTTCTTCTCCACACCCTTTCACGTCCGTCTGGAGATCGAAGAGCGAATCTTGACTCATCCTGAAAAAGTACAGCACTTCATTCGTCCATAGTCCAATGGCTGTGTTCTCGAGCAAAAGCCAGCCGTGTTACTCTGTGAGTTCTGGTCAACTCTGGTCCTCTTACTGGACGAAAAGCCATTAATCCATACTCATTTAATCTTCTCCGAACGGCTCGTTCAGAAATTTGTACACCTCGAACTTCTTCGAGCTGATGAATCGCTTGAACAACAGTAAGGTGCCGGTTTCGTAAAATTCTTAAAGTCAAAAATCGGTCATACCATGGTTCTGTTACCCTAGGCCGTCCAGACAGGGCCTTCTATTGTAAGAAACAGTTTCCTGAAAAAGCCTGACGGCGTCTCGTAAAGTTTCATATGGAACTCCGATGGCATTAGCTGCATATCTAATGGAACGTCCATCATCAATAAGTGCCACACCACGCGCAACATCCTCAGCACTAAGAGGCATTTTTAAACTTAATATTGAAAAAATTAAAAGCCAGAGACTAAGAAATGTGCTGCAAGAAACGGCACTAATGATACTGAATAAACATTTTGATTCCATAGTAAGTAAACATTGGAATCTAGAATCATTTCATTGAATTAAGGATTAAGGGTTATTGTCCTCTATATTAACATTCCTAATTGAAAACAAACAAAAAGATTACCTATTTATTCATTAAAAACGATAGACCAATCCAAAGCAGAAATATTTTTAGATGAAAACATGAAAAAATCAAGTGGATGGAATTTTTTGCCTGTCAGTGTATATAGTAATAGATCCATTTTGTCCTTCAATTTTGCTGTTGTAATTTGTCTAAAATTTGTATACATTGGTATCAATACAATATTTTTGAACTTTCTTAGTCTATCCCGACGTAATAATAAATCCAGTACTTTAAAATTTTTATTTTCATTTAGTGATATATAGAAAATTTTGTAGGTTCATTTCTGAAAAAAAACACAGCAAGCATATTTTTAACTAGTTCATTGATTCTCTGTTAGAATCTTCTACTAATTTTGTTGATATAAAATCTTCTTGTTTCATTTTATATACAATAAAGTTATTATATTTATGGCACTTTTTGATAATATTATAATAATCTTGAGGACAAACAGAATTTTTTTTTATGACATTTCTACCATACCAAATTAAAAATTTGGCAAACATTGTTTAAAAAAAGGCAAAACATTGTTATATATGATTTTCACATTATTTCCAACAGTTTAGACAATTTTTAGCCACATTAAAGCTACTTTAATGTTTCTATTTTGTCTTACACACAATCTATTTTGTCTTTTACTTCTTAAATTTTTGAATGATGCTTGAAGCTATTTCTTGAGAACCTCTTGATGCAATATCTTTATCCCAAACGTACATGTGAACATTATTGTTATGAAAATTGTGTATTCCTAAATTTAGAACGTAGATATTGCATTTATAATATGTCATTGAAGCAGTTAACTTTAGATAAGATAATGCTTTTTGCAAGCCAAACGAAAAAGCAAAATAATAACCTGTTTTTAGAATTCAACATATACCTAAAACTCTAATTTCTTGGCGAACTTTTTTCGTTTTTTTGGCATCTTCATTTTACAGTTTTGTGCTCAATAGCTTCATAAAGCAATCCATTTTGTTTATTAAATTCTCCCAAAGACCAAAACTACTAAAAAATATTCATTCTTTCATGTTTGAAATTTTTTAAGTAAGTTTTTCGACAATGGCAATCTTATTTTAGAAAACATGTTTCATCAAACTTGGAACTTGGAAAATATGTTTCATCAATATTTTCTCCATTGTTATCTGCATTTTCATTTCATGACGAATATTGTTCTATATTTTTTCTTTAAATCATTAGCTGTTAATTCTTCTTACTATATGAACTAAATGGCCTTGTCATTTTGTTCTTCCCCATGAATGAAATAATTTATAAAATTTTATATTTAATATACACAAATATTAAATTTACACAATACACATATTTACAGTTACATTTTAACTATAAGTATGTCTATAGTGAATTTTTTTAACTGCATTAATTAGTGGTAGTGATTATTCAACAATAGCAATTGTTCAAAAACTTAAGTAAACTTGTTAAATACTAATTAATTAAAGTTACCTTCATCAATACCTTCGGATATTATCAATAATAAATATTTCAATTTAAGTATAAATGGTTTTAGGCCACTTTCAAAGTAAATGGATCAATTATTGAACTAACTCTGAAAACTTATGTGTCCAAAATTATCGTATTTACTTAGAATATTAGTAACCTCAAATGCTTTATTGACAAATAACTTGAAGTTGTCCATAAAACCACGGTCAACTGTAAATAATTGACAAATAGACTTAGGCCACTTTAAAAATAAATGGCTCAATTAAGTAACTTATTCACAGACATCCTGATTACTAAATTATAATTATATGATTGTTAAAATTGCATTAGAATCCTAACCTTCACCATGACCATGATGCTCAAGGTGTACCTTAAAATTATTAATAGGATTAAACAAATAACTTACAGTTTTTATTTCCATAGAAATTTTTGGTCTTGCAGCATGATACAGTATAGAAACGAGATTAAGGCCAATGCCGATGAGAATACCGATCTCTAATCTCAAAACCAAACATGCTATGAATGTTACGATTCCAGGAATCAGATCACTTTCTGAAATGAACCATGTGGATTTGAATTTAACCATTTTGTACATAAAAGTTTTAAATCAATAAAAGAAATGATAGTGGTAAAAATTGAATTAAAAAAATACATAAAAAGGACTCAATCTTACTTTTGGATCTCCAAATTGGTTTAACAACTCTAACTTCAACCATAAAAACAACAGCTGCAATAATCACTGCTGCTAGACTAGTTTTAGGAATGAAGTAGAAACAAGGAGTGAAGAAAAGCAAAGCAATTATAACCAGCACACCTTTAAAAAAAAAAAAGTATATTAAAATTATAGATGATAAAATTAAAAGTAGGGATAAATGTGGAATTGAGAGCCAAGTTTCAGCTTTTCATTCAAAGTAAAAACAGTATATGAGGTTATATATACTGTGCTATAAAGTTATATATTCCACTAAAGTATTAATAGCAGTAGTGTACATATATGTTTATAAGGAAATAAAAAACTTAGAGAACAACAATGAAAATGGCTTCCTTTTTATGGTCCTTGAAACGGATTTAAGCCACTGACCGAATCATCGCTCTCTCTGAAGAAGGCAAATCATTGCGTTATATCGCTAATCGCCTTGGGATTCACTATTCTTCCGTTTCAAGGACCATAAAAAGGTAGATAGAGACTGGTAATCATTCAAGATGACCAACATCAGGGCCTCCCAGGATTACTAATCCTGTATAAGACCACTTCATTAAAATGCATGCACTTCGGAAGCATGATTCTACAGCTTTTTTCATTAAAAACTTGATCACTGGTGTTCGAGAGACATCAATCTCGGAGTCAACAATCATTAGAAGACTGAGAGAGCCAAACCTCAGCTCAAGGTCAGTGAAAGGTCCCCTTCTCACCATAGAACACTGTGTAAAGAGATTAAGATTTGCAAGGAAACACCAATCTTGGACTGAGGAGGAATGGGAAAAGTTATATTCACTGATGAGACAAGAGTGGCCCTTAACAGACCAGATGGTTGTGAAAGAGTTTGGAGAAGGGCTGGCAAACGGTATAGTCAGTTTTTTGGGGAGGGGGAGGAGTTATCATGTTCTGGGACGGCATATATTGGGAGGAACGAACCGAGTTGGTGTTAATCCATATATCGCATCCATCCATATATATGTGAGATGGATGCGATGAACTTGTTAGGCACCCAAGCTAGGTTCGGGGGCAAGAGCTGAGGCTGAATGGCAGAGGGTGGATAAAAATATACTGTCTTGTATCGACCCACTTGAGGCACCAGACACCCTCAATTTCATAGTAGCTGGCTGTAGGGAGAGAGGGCAGTACCAATAGTCTATTTTCTTCCATACTCATGGGAACAACATGCAAGATTCTCAAAATAGAAAAAAACAAAAACGAAAGGACTTACAGACTAGACAGACTTTTTCTTCCGAGGAAGATACTTCTTCCTCAGAACTTAAACACCCTGACCTCTCAGGGGCTTCTCTTGATATTACCCTTGATGAGACATCGATGGAAGACATCTTTAGATTTCTCACGGCTGAAGTCGAGGGACTTCAACTTTGCTATGAAGGCAAGGAGATTAGGAGGGTGACCACAGCCGAGAACGGAGCTGTTGCCCTACCTCCACAAAACCTTCAAGAAACGAGCCTATTAGTAGGCCTGACAGAATAAAATATTCAGATGGTAGGCGGTGGACTCACTCCAAAAGAAGCAGTCTCTGCCACACTGAAACAATCAAAAACAATGAGAAGGCGGCAAAGAAGGAACAGAATGGCTGCCAAAATCATTCTCTAAACACATCCAGAATCGGGATACATTAGGGCACTCAGCTAAGGATGCAAAGGTTATCCCAGACCCTGCAAACAAGGCCGAGGAGTCCGACATGGTGGTCTCTGATTCAAGGACACAACAAAAAATCAAGGAGCCTGGTGGTGAGCGGGAAGCCAAGGGTGCAAGGGCCAATTATGGCCTGGCGTCCAAGGCTGAACTGCCCGCTGCAAAGGCTCCAAGGAGATACTTTACCCAAATGGAGCCACCCTCTGGGCCACCAGCTAAGGATGTAGATGTCTCTCAAAACCCTGCACCTAAGGCTGTGGAGGCCCCTGGGCTAGCCCCAGAGACGGGCAAAAGGCAAAGAACCTTACAGGGCACCACAGCACCTACCACCAAGAAACCCAGAGAGGCAGTAACCAAAAGCTATGCCTCAGCCTCGAGAGGTCAGCTGGTTGCGGTGGTTCCTAGCCATGCTTGACCCCAAACAGATAGAGGCACTAAAAGAACTCATGCCCGACAAGGTGGATGGGCTTGACAAACATGGAGAGTACCACCTGCTTTTTGTTGGCGTAAGCTACAAAATGGGGGAAGTTATTATCGCATTTATGTACAATGAAACATGCACTTGGCTGGCAAAAATTATTCCGAGCATTAACTTAGCAGAAGGAATTACCCTTCGCATGGGTGATGCTTAGGAACTCACAAAAACCTCCAAAATAGGTGCCTTCTTACTGAGGAGGCTCTAATGAAGAGACTGAGATTGTAGAAACCACAATTGAAAGAGTAAAGAGTTTTATCTGCATTACTTAAAAGAAATGGAGAAAGGATTCTTTGCTATTGTCAAAATCCCCTACTCCAGCTTAGAAAGCCTTAAGAAACATGGCATGAAGGCTGGTTACGGTTGGTGCCGTGTCACTTTTAAGGTCCTAAAAGAACAGAACAAAGATGAAACCTCGATGCCACAGAAAGAGGAGGAGGTCATGGAAGGAATTGAGGTTAAAGCTCCTAACTACGGCGGCTCAGAGGACCTGCCAGCAATCAGACACCTTGTTAGTCATAAGGGAGCCGATCACAGTGCAGCGGGGAAAGGCAGGGTGAAACCAGATGGAGGAGCAGAAACTCTTCCGCCTGGTGAATCCCAGCCATCCTCGTCAACTGTGAAAGGCCCCTAGCAGAATAAGTAAGGCAAAGGGAGTTAAGTCGGGTGGTGAACCGGGAGCAGGGAAGAAGCTGGAGAAGACAGTGAAAACTGTCTCCTCCGGTGAAATCCTGCCACTGGAACCATCGAATAACCAATCCCCCAATACCTTTAATATACGAATCTTTGGGTAATGGGCACTGGAGAAAACCGGAGCCAGGACTGATTCCAAAGACACAGGTAAGGCTGGGTCTGAGGATGAAAGCCTGCCACGGTCTCCACCCGGGAATCCGTCCAACATGTCCATCGATTAACTTACTTAGATGAGGCTGCTGCAAACCAATCTACACCACTGCATTGCTGCAAGTGGAGTAGTTCTACAATATATCAAAGGTGAGGATATTGATATTATATTAATCCAAGATTCTTACTTAAGTAATAACAGGATTTGGGGTTGGGAATCAATGTCTATGGAACTATTTCTGTTGCCACCAACCCCAGGGCCTGTATTCTTTATAAAGAATCACGAAAATGACTGCCTCTTTGGCAACTCTGTTCTAGAGATTGGGCAGCAGTCAAATTTACTTCACCAAGAGACAAGAGGACACTAAACATAGTGGCGGGTTATCTGCCATATGAGTCAGGAGATCCTGCACAAGATATGGAAAATATTTTAAATTCCAACAATGAAGATACCCTGATGGGACTTGACGCAAATGCCCATAACATCATATGGGACAGCAACAATAACAACCCCATAGGTGAGATATTGTTGATTCTTAATATTAGTAATAACTTACACATAGAGGCAAAAAACCTACCTTCTTTAACAAACTAAGATCAGAGGTCATAGACATAACGTTGGCCTCTAGTCAGGTCACGTCAAAAGTACATAACTGGCATGTATCGGATGAGGAAACATGTTCAGACCATAAATATATCAGATTCGACTGATCTGACAACACTAAAACTATAAAGAAATATAGAAACTCAAAGTCTACAGACTTTAAAGAGTATCTCTCATACCTAGAGGAGGCATCCAAATGCTGTCCAAAAAAAAATTGACAACACTTGGCAGTTAGAATGCTTAAATTCATCTTTAACAGATGCAATTAGAAACTCTTATCTGAGCAGTAATGATATCCAAATCAAGACATCCAAAAGAAGGGTATCCTGGTGGAACAAGGATTTAGAGAGGCAAAGAACACTCACAAGAAGGTTGTTCAATGCCGCAAAAAGATATGGCAACTGGGAGGTTTACAGGACTGCCCTCACAGAATATCACAAATCTGTGGTCTTGGAGGAACTTCTGCCAAGAAATTGATAATACTCCTATGGCAAGTAGGATAAAAAAAAAAAACTTACTAAACAGAAAGACCAAGGAATACTGGTTACATTCAGGGTCAATGGCAAACATACTAGTAATGAGCTGGAAACCCTGAGAGAACTGGCAATAGCATACTTTCCTGGATGTAAGACTATGGAAAAGGCCTGTACAGACACCACACTCCCTAGCTATACAGCTAATCGGGAGGGGCGGACTAAGGCTGGAAAAATTGTTACAGCCAACAGATTGGTATGGGCAGTAAACACACTGTCTCCCTATAAATCAGCAGATTTGGATGAAATCCTACCAGTACTGATTCAAAAAGGACTTTCAATAATTAAACCCTATCTCTTAGAGCTATTTGTTTGGATATCTTCCTGCAGAATGGAGAGGATCCAAACTGTGCTATATTCCAAAACCTGAAAAGAGAACAATGATCCTAACTCATTCAGGCCAATATGCATGTCATCTTTTCTAATGAATACATTAGAGAAGATTTTGGACAGGCATATAATATAACAATTAGTGTACATTAATTCTTTACATTCCAATCAATTCGGGTACCAACCTGGTAAATCATGTGAAGCTGCATTACATAATCTGGTTTCAAGGATTGAAAAATCCATTAATCAGAAGGAAATAATGATTGACGCCTTCGATAGGACTCCTTACAAAACTATCATGGATACTTTAAGGACAAGAAAAATAGATTTACTTTTCACCAAATGGATTGGCAACATGTTGGATGGACGAATTCTTAAAACTGAATTAGGAAACACTGTAATGTGGATCAAACCTGGAGGAGGTTGTCCACAGGGAAATGTGCTCTCTCTCCATTACTGTAGTGCTTGGTGGTGGACTCTTTGCTCTTAAAACTAACACTGCAGGCTTTTACGCACAAGGATAAAAAATGGTAGAAGTAAGACTACCTGAAATAAATAACATCCAGCTAACAGAAAGTAAGGAGGTAAAACATCTAGGTGTTATGCTGGATAATGGAATGATGTGGAGTACACAACTAATAAAGCTCTAAAATGTCTCTAGGCATGTAAGAATGCTGTAGGAAAGGCATGGGGACTTAAACCTCCGATGGTTTACCGGCTGTATGTTACATCCATTATTAGCTGATCCATACCACATACCTTCATCAGAACTATTATGTTTTTTATTACGAATGCCCCAATATCTTATTATCACTTTGATTAAAATCTATGGCTGATAACTTCTTAATAATTATTATTTTATATATATTATATGTTACCATGCATTATTTATTTTATGGCTAATTTAGTTTTTATTACTATATGTAATATATGAGACTAAAAACAAACCAGTATAAAGGCCTCCTAAAGGTGTTCGAACTCCACTAGAATTGTTCACTGCACTCCTTGACAAAGATCCGCTACCAGGAAAACTCTGAACAAAGGAATTACCTATATTACACAATCCTATTGCTATTAGTTCCTGAGTAGCATCTGTTGCTTTTCCATTGGCTAAAATTTAAGGAATTCAAAAAATACTTTACTTCTAAAATGTTTCTATAATCTAATACTTCTACTTGTAGGATAAAATGAATTAAGTACCACACACATATATAACAAAAAAAAATATACCAAATGCTTTGCAAACTGCTATATTTTCTAATAAGGCTATTATAGGTAAAACAATTATGCCTGAACCCAGCTCTGAACACATTTCTAAAAATCCAATAGTTTCATTGCCATGTTGAACACTAAATGGAGGAAGCTGAATGCTAGGTAATCCAGGTGGAATATGGCCTAAGAAAAACAAAACAAAATTAAAACAATGCCAATCACATACATCATTGGTTTATTGTAACAAGTCATTAAGTACATTTTTGATGAAGCAGGATCTTCAAGAACTTTTTTTGTGATTTTCGACCTCATTTATTGATTAAAAAAATACAGTAAGTGCGTGCAACCTTTTATATATCAAACATAGTAACAACAAGCACACAAATTTCTGATTTTAAAAGGGAAAATTCATCAAAGTTCTTTGCGATTTAAGGTTATGAAATTGTGCTTAATGATTTTTTGCAATAAAGAGACGACTTAGATAATCATAAATATTTGGAGATAATGGAACTGTTTATGAGCTGTAACATTAATTTGTATTTTTTATGTAATAATCCATTTTCTGAAGTTCTGTATTCCACACAAAAGCATTTGACAGAATTAGACAGGAGGGCTGTGACAGATAGAGGCATCAACTAAGGGTTAAGCTAGCAATAATGAGTCCTAACACACTGAGGAGATCCAATTATAGTATAGACCAAAATGTTTTGAACCAATCTTAGGATAAGATGAGGTTGCAGTTAAGGCCATCTATATCTTATATCTTATGATATTATTTGATTCCATTATTTATCAGTAAAGACCTAAATGGATAGGTTTCCATATTCCATATTTAGATGTGTATATTCAGTTAAATACCTTTAATGATGCCTTAAATGATGAAATAGTAACCCTAGCCAGTAACAATAGAAATTTTATTCATAATATAAGGATTCTTCAAGTAGAATTTCAAATTATCAGTCTAAACAAAATAAACATGATGCAACTGCCATGATGCAATATATAAAGGAAAAACAAATGAGACAATATCAGTAATTCTTATAGGAACATCATGAAATATTGCTCCACCTTGTTTTTCTAACCAAAGAAGCCCAGCCTTTATTACTTTTTTGCATAGCTTAAAAGTTTATACATGCTCGGATGTAACAGGGATGTACTATGTGCCTCTCCTAACCAACTTTACTCAATTCTCTTCTTGTTTAGGAGATATACCATTTAACACATACGTTATTGTATTGTACAATATGGCTTAGAAGAAATGTGATTGAGTATACATGGGTGCTCAAATAGTCACAATAGAGCTTAGATTAATAAAATATAAAGAGCACTGTGATAAAGTTAATAAATGCAAAGATCCTTCCTGAAAGAGAAGAATAAAAAAAAGGTTGAGAATCTACAATACAAAATCAGAATTACCACAAATTACTGCCGGAACCCAGAAAATGCATCTTTAAAACTACAGAAAAAAAAATTATTAAATCATTGTATTCTATATTGGAGAGGCAGCAAGGCAGTGAATTAAATCAAACACTAGGAGTTTATATAGAAACAATCAAGCAGAAATTAGCAGTATTAGCAAACAGGATTAGGCGATATACGGAGGCTCACGATAGAAGGAGACAAAATTCAATATTTAATAAAAAATAAATACATTTTTATAAGATTTTAAAATCTAAAAAGAGTGAAAATAAGGATGTCTTCCCAGATTCTACTAAATTATCAGAATATTGGAAAGTAAAAAATGTTTTAATAATGAGGCAAATTGGTTGGGAAATATTTGTTGTAGTTTATCAGATGTCCAATCTATGGAAGGAACTAGTATTACTGTGGATGATGTGGCAAATTCACTGAAGCAAATGAAGAAATGAAAAAGTGGAAAGCTTCAGGGCCAGATATAAATTACTGGCTGAAGTCCTTCCACAATGTTCATAGCCATCTAGCTTCATGGTATCCAGAGACTTATCTGAAGAGATAGAGTTACCAGCAAACTTCTGCACAGGTATAACTTCTTACTAAGGAAAGGGAACAAAGAAAAACTGGAGCAGCAGGATTTAACACATTAATTTGCCTTAATGATATGAACAAATTACTTACGGCTATAATCAGAAACAAGTTGACAAATTAGTGCTTACATTGAAGAGAAAGGCATCATGGCAGTAGAACAGTTAATTATCAGAGCAGGTTCAAAAAGTTGCAAAGAGCTTCTGATTATTGATTATTTTATTGCTGCTCAAGTTACAAAAAGATCTCATAATATTTTTTTGGCTTGGGTTGACTGCCAAATCAATTAAAGAAAGTATTTGATTTGGTTCCATGTGATTGGTTTCTGGAAGTGTTGAAGATCTACAAAGTAGATCAGGTGATAATAGATCTACTTGAACAACTTAAGAAAATTTAGAGGATTTCACTTTATACACCAATTCAGAATCGAATAAGTGCTAATGAATATATTCATACAAAGAGGGGTATTTTTTTATGGGGTTTTCCTTAGTCTTCTCAGGTTCAGTTTGGCACTTAATCCACTAAGCAAACTATTGGCGGATACAGACAAAGGATCCCTTATTGCCTCTGAAACGAAACTCTCTCATTCGTTCTATCTGGATGACTTCAAGCTTAATGCTAGAAATGAAGATGGAATGAGAGTTCTCTTGAAGACTATAAGAACATTCAGGAATGATATAAAAATGGATCTGGGAATATATAAATGTGCAGTAGAACACGTGAAAAGAAGGAGATTATTTGAAGAGAATAATATTGAACAGTCAGAAAATGTAATAATGAATCAATTTAGGGAATCTGATTCGTACAAATACCTGGGAAGACACCAACTCCTGAAATTTAATGCCAATACAAAGAAACAGTTTGAGGATGAATTTAAATACCTTGTCAATTTAGTGCTTAAATCAAACTTGAATTAGAGAAATTGAATACCTGAGCAGTACCAGCTTTAGCATATTTATTTGGAGTATTGAAGAGGACAAAAACCGATTTAGAAAGGTTGGATCACCTTCTCAGAGTCCAGATGGTGCTTTCAAGGAAGAGACATCCAAAATCATCTGTAGCAAGGTTATATCTTCCTACGAAGATAGGAGGGCGTGGTCTAACCAACCCCAGGAAGAAAATAATGTTTGAAACTCTATTGCTATAAAATTAGAAGAATAAAAATAGAGACTTACAGATGTGTTCAGTGAGGAATTTCACTTAGAACTGGAAAACCTGAGTAAGTACTTTTGGAGAAATTGGTTGACCTGGTAGGTAAATGGTGAGGGGGTAAGTAATAAAAGTAAAACAAAACCTGGAATATTACAGTATCTAAAATTTGAAGGTATGGATGGATACAAGGGAAAATACTATATCTATAGACTAATACATTATAAATATATACATATACATATAAAATAGAATCAAAAAATTAAAGATAGAAGTACAATGTAAGTAAAAACAAAAATTAAAAAAAAAAAGTGAAACGTACATAGAAGTAAAATGTAAATATATATAAAAAAAGACCAGAACTAATTCAGAAGTATAGAGAGGAAACAGATATGAATAATTATAATTATAATTAATTGTACATATGAAAATTACATTTAAATATTAGATATTAGATAAATTAGGGACATAATGGTTAAAAAGTACAATGAATACAAAGTAAAAACAGATGATCATACATTGATGTAGAATGTGAATATAAAATTAAAAATAAAAGAGAGTTACTTAAAAGCGGAAATACTTTAAAATAATGAATGATTAAATTAAATTGATGAATAAAAATTGAAAATAGATAAAAAATAATAATAAGATGTAATAAATAAGTTATTTTTCACTTATAACATTTAAAATGTACCTATATGTTAAAGAAATACAGTTTTTAACTACTTTATGATTAACAGGATTCTGTTCCATATGAATGTGGATGGATTCTGAAATGAGTCTTTTTTCATGGTTTGGGACCGTGACAAGAATAGAGGTTTTTTCAAAATAAAATTAATGGTTGAGGGTTAAGGCATGTTCTGATAGTTTGGAGGCAGAAGGGTTCTGGGAAGTTATGGATATTTTATGTTGGGAAATGGAGGTTTTCCCACATTTCAAAACCCGCACATCCCCTCAAAACAGGCATGTATATGTATATATTTATAATTTATTAGTCCATAGATATAGTATTTTCCCTTGTATCCGTCCAAATCTTCAAATTTTAGATACTGTAATTTTCCAGCTTTTGTTTTACTTTTACTACTTACCCCCTCACCATTCCCTACTAGGTCAAAAAATTTCTCCATAGGTACTTACTCAGATTTTCCAGTTCTAAATGAAACTCCTTGCTGAACACACCTATAAGTCTCTATTTTTATTCTTCTAATTTTATTTACTTATTTTTTTGGTTTTCTTTTTTCTTTTCTTTCTCCACATCACTTTATGTCTATTATTTCATATTATATCCTTTTTCCTTTTCTTCCAATATTTTAATGTACTTACTATTTATAATTTTAATAAGTTTATTCCCATTGTTCATAATTTTTTGTCTAAATATTATGTAACTTCCACAATTCTCTATATCTTTTTGTATCTTGTCCGTTCTAGCCTTGAAGAAGACCTGCAAAGTCGGGTTGAAATGCTGGCTTTTAATAAAATAGTTTTGCCACTATTTAGCCTATTTATGACCGTCACCCCAGACCATCTCCTTCCTTAATAATACAATGGTCAACTATTAAGTATTCAATATGTATTTTATTCATTTATTTTATAAATTTTCCATTAAACTTTGATACTGTTTATTTATCTGATACTGTATTATTTGTTATTGATTTAATCAGTTATTATACTGCTTTATTTATTTACATATTGTTTTAGTTATTTATTCGTTATTTAATTTATTTTATTATATCTTTTATAATATATTTTACTTCTTTAAATTAATACTATCATGTAAACCAATGTATGTTTTTAATATCTTATAATACCAATCTAATGCATATAATATGTTTTTGCAAGGTGTATGCACATTTTTGTAAAGTGTAGGCCTCTTTTATAAGGTTACTACAGAGGAGATTAAAAAAAGATATATATATATATTTTATTTTTAAATAATATAAAAAAATAAATATAAATAAATTAACAAATATATATCAAATTAGCAAATTGATTAAATACATTTATACACCAATAACTTGAGCCAACAAACTAAAAATTAATCCACCCTTTGGTCAAAAAATCGTTACACATCTTTTAGCAGACAACCCAAACACATATCCCTCTGCCTGGCATTCACCATAGTCGGGTAATAATTACGAAAGTTTTGAAAACAAGCAAATTTTATAGTACACGAAACTCTTTCCGTGTAAACTAACTTCATAACCCCTACATTCCTTTAATACAATAATAATAATATATAAAGCTCAAAGAACAGTTCAAAGCATGATAAAAATAATACCTATTAATTTAACTGGTGTTTCACCATGCTCATACAGATAGTAACCAATGACAGCACTGACGATGACTAAAATACAGTTTCTTGAAGTTGCTATGAGCCAAATCGCTTTATTGATAAATTTTTGTGAGCGTGTTTCATTTCCTTCTTCACCAATACGGAATTCAGCCATGTGCTAAAAAAATAAATTAAAACAGAAAAAAAAGAACAATTCTTTATTTTATTTTATATACATATATATATATATATATATATATATATATATATATATATATATATATATATATTGTAAAGGCGGAATTCCACTAAGGCAACAAGCTACGCACAGTCTTTCCATGGAAGGAACAGAAAGCGACAAAAAATATGTCTCCTTGCTGCATACTACCAGTTGACCGTTGTTGCCTGTCGAATGTGTCATCTTTCCACATGATTCAACGTGTCAAACAGTGTCACTGTCTATCCAACAGCCTTTGGATCGGTGCGGCTTGTTGCGGGTAACATGGTGTGGACGAATGACAAAACTACGTCTTCTATTGAACATTAACATAATTCTGCCAAATTATGGAATAGTAAAATCGCCGAAGACAAAGATATAAGAATTAAAAACGATAAGTTGAAAAAGTTATTAGAAAAATATAATTGGTTTATTTATTAATCATTAATTTATTTAAATAGGGAAATATAATTGTACGGTGATAGAGGTAAAAATTAATTAAGAATGACTCATCTCCTAGCAAAACAGGAAATGGTTTGCTTATGAGCTAGTGAATTTTTTATTGGACGTTGATGTACTCAAATCAATATTGTCAACTGCTGAATGTTTAGGTAAGATGACATGATGATGAGGATCAGTGATGACACGAAATATGCTTGCTAGCAACTCAAATAGTCTGAGAGCCCATGAGAAAAATCTACATTATTTGATGAAATTCTTAAAGCATTTTTTGAATATTTATAACATCTTTATTTAAAAAATGAGAGTTTGTCAGTTGGATCTTACTTCCAGTAAAAATGGCAAATGATTTAATGAATATTGGGCCATTAACTTAAGGATCGAAACGAGAAATTCATTGTGAAAAATGTAAGAAAACTTTATATTTTTTTAACTTGTATATATTGGTTGAGAAATGTAAAAATAAAATTGCTGACACAGGTCACCGAGGAAAAACTTTTTATAGCCAAAAAAGCCAGATTATTTCGATCTTCTTTTGTTGTTTCACCTATAGGTCCTAAACGGTGCAACAAACCAAAAAACCTTTTCTTTCATACATTAACAAGTACCTAAGTGGTATATTCGTTAACCACAGTTTACTGAATTCGTGAAAACAGACAAATACTATAAATGGTGCTGCAGCTTGGGAATGAGTTCTCTAAGAGAAACAATCATAGAATAAAAGTTATAGAGCATCGAAAACGTCCACTGAGTACTAACAGTTTTAATATAGATCAATTATATTTCTTGAATCGGGATTCATTAATTCTTCATGAAATTTTTTACATCTCTGAATCCCTATATACAAGTTCATAAATAAAAACTTTTACGCAATAAATTTTCCGTTTTGATCCTCAAGTTACTGGTCTAATATTCTTTACATCAGCAAGTAATAATTTTTACAGGTAGCAAGATCCGATTGGCAAACTCATTTTTGAAATATAAATATTATAACTATATTCTAAGTTTTAATCAAATAATTTCAATTTTTTTCTCACAGACTCTCGGACTAAAGTGAATTTTCCACTACGCTTAAAAAGCGTAAAATATTAAATTATATCAAATTTCTTGACCATCGATTTATAGCTCTCTTCTCCAATATCATGGTATTTTTCTTTTCCTTTTATGATTTAAAGCGATTACCAAATACGCAGCTGCCACGACTGTTTTTAATGACATGATGTACCAAACAGAAGTTGCCTGAATGGAATCGCTTTAGTCGCATGCTACAGTGTACGACAAAGCACATGTGGTGTAGGACAACAAATTCTGCATGCTACATTGACTAAATTTTGTGCCACATCGGACGGCTACAAAAGGCAACACTAGGAAACAATTATCAAGCAACATGTCGTTCAGTGTTGCCTCAGTGGAATTCCGCCTTAACATTTCTCTTATATTTTACAAATAATAAAAATATAAGCTTGTGGAAGAACACTTTATACTGCTGGGATACTTCCAAATAAATAAAGAGTTATTAAATATTAAACAAAATTATAAGTTTTAATATATTAAATTGAAACTTATAATTATTTTATCTCAGCAGGTATGGGTTACTGACAATCAGATCAAAACACTCAGACAAACTATTATTATTTGCACTATATACTAAGATTAAACACTGATTTTAAAATAAAGTCAAGTATGAATTGGCAAGTTAACCTTGTTTCTATAGATACTGTTTCTTCCTTTGTTACACTAAATTCATTTGTCTTCAAATGCTTTCCAATGTTCTGCCAAACACAACTTGCAAAATGTTGACACTTTTTTCTACTCAACTTAAGCTCCCTGGGAGATCCTCTCTCTCTTGTAATTCCAAAAAATTAGTGACTGTCAAACAATAACTTCCAAGACGGTAATACTATTTCTGGTTTTTACCCACTGGAGCCAGGATCTCTTCTATCCTCTCTTCACTGCAGTCAAACAACATTTTTTTTTTTTTTGTCCTCCCTTCCTCGGCTTTAAGGCTATACAGGGTTCTCCCGGGCCAGGGAGTTTGGACAGGGATTTAAAAGACTCCCCCGGCACAGCGATGCGAACTCGCAACTATTTTTCATCGTTGTCTCATATTGTCTCACTCGTTGCCTCAGGTTGCCGGGCAACGGCGGTGCTGCGCACACTTGTTAGCCCATTCGGCCACCCACTAGCGGATCCAGGATTTAATTTTGGGGGGGGGCTTCAGCCCGAAAGCCCCTCCCCCATAGATCCGACCGTGCGGCCACCCCACCCACAAGTCAAACACTAACACCCCTCTTTTGGATTTTCTTATTTAGTGAAACTACAGAGCAGCTATTTTCTTTTCTCTGAACTAGTAGTACTAGATTAGCATGCTTTTTAACTGTTACATTAATTTATTAAATCATTTTTACCCACTTCCAATAAAGGTGTAAAAGATTCCCTCTGAGTTACATCTAAACTATTTTATTTCAACTTTTATCCTTTCCTTAAAGAATTATTCACAGGACACATACCAATAAATTACAGTAACATATGAATACTAAAATTAAATTGAAGACCATACCTTAATTTTAAACTAAGTTACACAATATATAAACTTAATACAGTAATTACATAGCTTGCTAATTTAATTTACTGAGGAAAATACCAGAAAAATAAACGCAGATCGATATATAAGTAATAAAATAAGCAATAAACATTATTTACAACAACAATTTACAGTATAATTTCTATATCTTATATACAATTAACTTACAAAATAACTGCTTAAATTATTGACATAACATTCTAAAATATTAATAACTTTTATTGTAAGAATAAACAGAGAGCACACATTTGCATTTAAAAATATAGATGGTTATAAATAGCTATATTGAGTTAAACTTCATGAAAGAGTTTTAAAAGGACAGTGTGAAACAGTATCACCATTATTTGGATTAGATATCAAAAATGAATGTTTTCCCAACTTATTTATTATTTCATAGGGTCCTTCAAAAAGTGGCAGGAGTTTGGCATTTACCACACCTGATGTAGGTACTCTTAAGGCCACCACCAGCACCTTATCTCCAATCTTAAAACATGTGAATTTTTCATCTTTATTATATTTTAATTTATTCTTATCACCAAACTTCTGAATTTTATTCTTAATTAAATTTTGTATTTGGTCATGATCTAAATTCAAACCCTTGGGGTTCTCTCCCCTATATGTGTTCCAAAAACGTAGGGGTTTAATTCCAAACATACTCTGGATAGGTGTTATACCTGTGGTTGTGTGGTTTGTTGAATCCATAGTGGTCTCTATCTGAGATAATTTACGGACCCATTTGTTATGTTTGACATCAAGCAGTAGGCGCAAATATTGTAATATATCTCTATTTTTTCTTTCTGAGATGCTGCTAATTGGGTGTCTGATAGAAGTTAAGACTCGAGTAATATGTAAGTCCATTAGGAAATTCTTCCACCTCATAGTTGTAAAACAGGTAGCGTTAACACTTCAAAACTTTAATGGAGTGCTGACTTTTTCAATATAGTAAAGGATAGACTTTCGGGCACAAAACAATTTGGTTTTCCTGGTAGGATATAATTTGGTAAAATAAAAATTTGGTAAATTTGTTTACAAATTTGGTAAAATTATTAATAACCTCAAAGATATATTTATTACCGCATGAAGTTACAAATGGTCCTAAATAATCTACAGACACTAATTCCGACTTTCCTCACACTAGAATATTTTGGTAAGGTGCAATTGAATACGGTCCAATTTTATTAAACTGGCAAACTTCACAGCACTTTAATATGTTAGCAATTAATTTTCTTAATTTGTGACTGTTAAACCGTTCCCTAATTATGGAAATAATAGTATAAAACAGAGATAATAACAATTAAATAATAATAGAGTATTATCCAAATAAACGTGAAACATGAGATGAAATAAAACAAAAAAGAATTGAAATTAAAGAGGTAGTATACTGTAATACAGTATATATTAAGGTATAGTATAATAATATAATATAGAATAAATTAAGGAGATAGTATAATGCAAAGATAATAAATGTTAAGTAATAATGGAGAATACCTGATCTAGGTGAAACATGTGAGATTAATGAAAACAAAAAAAATAAATTTCTTTAATGAGATTAAAGAAAAAGAAAACTGAAAGTTGAATGGAAATGAGTAAATACAATTTCTTATAAAGCAATTAAGGAGATGGTATACTGTAGAGATAATAAATATTAAGTAAAAAATGGAGTATAACTGGTCTATGTGAAATGTGAGATAAAGAAAACAAAAAGGAATATATTAAATAAGATAAAATAAAACGAAAATGAATTAAATTAAAGAGAAATAAGAAAGTTGTCAGTGAAAAGAAAAAATAGATTGTTGTGGATGTTTTAATAAATTAAGAATTTCGGAATAGGCTAAGGATAAGTTTTGTTTGTCTGTTTTTCAATTCACTGTTTTAGGTTGGAGCTGGTTGTGAAGGGTTTCAGAGATGAGTTGTTTGTCAGGGTTAGGGACAGCGGCAAGGATGGAAATTTTGTCGAAATCAAATGTATGGTTTAGGGAAAGAGAATGTTCGGATAATTTGGAGGCGGTAAAATTACGAGAGGATACAGAATATTTATGTTGGGTGATGCGGTATTTTTTTGGTTTCATCAATGTAAAATGAAAAGAAATTAGGGATAAAACAAGATACAGAGGGGTAATAGAGTCTATAAGGTCATTAAGAACAATATTGGAGATGTCGGGAGCGAGGGCGTTACCCATTGCTAGTCCAGAAATTTGGTTAAAAAATTGTCCTTGGAAGGTAAGGTAGCCTGATTTACAACATAGATGAAGGGATTCAAAATATGAGGAGCAGTTAAGTGAGGTGTGGGGTTCAATGGTAGGCTAATTGTTGTCTATTATACTAAGTGCATTGTCTATGGGTAAGTTTGTGAATAAATTTTCAACGTCAAAGGAGAAAAGAATGAAATGTTCTAAAATGGTAAAGGAAATTAGCTGTTCGGGGAGATGGAATGAATTACGTACATCATAAGAGTTGTTGTGACTGAGAATTTGTAAGGAAGGTAGTAAGAATTTGTCAAGTTTAACTGAAGGAGAATTGATAGAGATGATAAAGATTTTTTAGGTGTAGGTCAAATTTGGTTTTTAGTGATGGGGAGAGGTCACGGGATGTGGGAGAGTAAGATCTCCAGATTATTTCCATTCTCTTTCGATTAAACTTTTATTTAATAACTCATAGAATTTATCTATTATATATCTCTCGTCCATTATATATGTTTCCTGTGCTTTATTTCACGTTTTTAAGTCAACCATTACAGATGGCGAAAACAGAACAGCTCCCTCCTTTTTGCTACTATACCTCTGTATTTCCTCGTTTTTGGTTTTATCAGGTTTGTTTATCTTTATCTTAGCTTTCTCCTTTTTGCCTCCTTCCTGTCACTTTATTTTCCATATCTCCATCTCTATTTTGGGTATATTGATACATTTGCTCATTTATCTTTTTTTACATTATTTCAACTTTTTATTCTCTTATACGTAGTCAGTATATTTTGATAGATTTTACCACATCTCAATTTTCTCTTTATATCTATTATTTCTTTATATAACTATGAAGTTTCTATGAATTCTTTTTCTCTGTTTTACATTTTATTCTAAGATTACCATTTTTTATTTCTTATGCTACCTTATTTTGACTATATTTATTTCAATAGTCCGTGCTTTGTTGCCGTTATTATCATTTATTTCTTAGTTATCTGTTACTACTATTATTCTACCTACTTTATTTTCAATATTCACCCAATCTACTTCATTTTACTCTAAGTTTTTTTCTAGCTACATTTTTTAGTCTGTACCTTTCACTTTTTTTATTTTAATTCTTTATTATTCAATCTTTATAGTTTCTCAAACCTATTGTTATCTGGTCCTTTTCTTAGAACCAGTGAAGGCTTGAACTTCGGGCTGAAACGTCGGCAAATATAAAAATAAATATTATTATTTATTTTTGCTATATTTTATTTTGGCTGATTGCCCCAACCACCCTTCTCTTCAATTATTCACTGCAGTCAACCATCAACCCAAAATTAAAATTTAATATGTTTTTATTCTTTTAAAAATAATAATAATTTAATAAATATAATATTTTATTTGTTGTAAATCAATTAAATATATTTTTTGGGTTAATATGAACTATTGAGGCAAAATTGTTATTCTCAACATGTTCATCATTTTATAAATAGAATAGAAAAATAACTTTATTCGGTTATAGAATAACACAATGATACAGAAAAAAAAAGAATTACTTCTGGCCAGAACTTTTACATTAAATAATAAAAATTAATAAAACTTAAGTATACAAATAGTATATGCAAAATGAAACAATGAAACTATTTACAAAATATTTAGAACTACATACAATTAGGGATGGACCGTTCCGGACGGAATGAATTCCACTAATGGAACGGTTCGAGACCCTAGGATACTTTGTTCTGCTGAAACGTAATCTAAGAATATAAACTTCTTAAGGTTTCAATTGTCAAAAGTCAATAGTGAATAGAAAAGTCAAATAGGCACAAAAGGGATTTGTAGCACTTAAGGTTAGGGCACTGATTGCCCGAATTAGATTAACAGAATGGTCGAATAGGTTGTTTGCTTCAAAAGTGAACCATAATGACTAAATTTAATTTATACTATACATATTTCAATTAAAATTAAATATATTACAAATTTAAAATATATTAATTATAATGCCAAGATTCAGGTAGACTATTTGTTTTTTTATAAGGACTTTTCCACTACTGTGGTTGTCTTTGACCTAAATATTCTTTAAGATATTTTTCCATTCTTCTCTATCCCAGGCTTGTTCTTCTATGATGCCATGACCGCTTTCTTCTATCCCGTCTTTCCATTTTACCCTTGGTCTTTCCCTTTTCCTTCTCCCTTTTGCTTCCAACTCTATACACATCTTTGGCAATCTTTCAGACGTCATTCTTTTCACATGTCCAAACCAGCATAACCTTTTCTTTTCAATATTTACTAAATGGTTTTTTCTACCTGTGTCATTTCCAGAATTCTTTCATTTTTGATCCTTTCCCTTCTGGATTTTCTTGCTGCTCTTCTCCAAAAGTCCATCTCTACTACTAACAGCCTGTTTCGGTGTCTTGCATTGATGACGCAAGTCTCCGAGGCATATGTCGTGATTGGCTCGAATATAGCCTTGTTTATTAGCCTCTTTGTACTGGGCTGTATATTAGAGCTCCAAAGGATACTGTTGAGTAGTGCTGTGCCCTTCTTCCTTCATCAATTCTTCTGTCAATATCATTGGTGGATGTACCTTCTCTATTTAATATTGCTCCCAGGTATTTAAATTTCTCTACAGATTTTATACTTCTTTCAATTGGCGTGTCATCAGATGAAGTGCCAAGATGCTCTGTTTTCATGAAGTTAATAGTCAACCCCCACTTTTCATAACTCTCGACAACCTTTCTGAACATAAAATTGATGTCCTCTCTATCCTGGGCTATGACTACTTGGTCATCAGCAAACATTAGGTTCATGATGCATACATTTTCTCCAATCCTTATTCCCGTTTTGAGACATTTTCTATTCCACTCTGTGAGAGCAACATCAACATAAATTTTAAAAAGAGTAGGCAAAAGGCAACATCCTTGCAAAAGTCCTTTTGAGGTCTGGAATTTTTGAGAGAGACAACCCAGTTTAGCACAGCAGGCATTATTGTGGTAAATTTCTCTTATAATGGTTATTATAGACTCTGAGATATTTGCTTCCTTAAAGAGCTTTCCACAATAGCTTTCTTGGAACTGAGACATTTAGGTAAACATAATAATAAACTAATTATAAATAATATTCTAATCAAATTGTATTATTATTAAGACCAAAGATAAATATGTGGTTCTGTTGTGCAAATGAAATTTGTTATAGAAAATTTTATATCATTGGTTTATGTGGATTTAGAAAACCTAAGATTTCTCCTTTTATTTTATTTTCCTTTTTTTTAACTACCTATAAAAGTCATGAGAGATATCAATATTGTTTAAACATTTTAAAAGTTAAAAAAAATATTGATTTCTATTAAATTTTGCCTTTTTTATTATTACTTTATTTTTAATTTATTTCTAACTCATGGCTTGTTTAATGGGGTTACAATGGCAGAACAAAGAAGAAACAGAACTAACAGTCTTGTTAGTTGTAATAAAAATTTCTTAAACCTGTTCGATGGTTCCACCTCTGGAACCGTTGATTTTTCAGTTGTTTTAAATAGTTTTAGTATTACGCATATTTGCTTCATTACGCTTTATCAGGGTTTATGTGTTGTTCCAAATGAAGATGGAATGGAATGAGAACTGGAACGAATTCCAGGGTTGGGAAATTCCGTTGTCCTGTAGTCGTAAATTGCTCATCCCTACATACAATACTAATAAGAAATGAAACAAAATAATTGTTACTTAGCTTTAAAAAAATGAAAAATAATAATAAAGAAATAAAAAAGATATAAAGGAAAACAATAAATTATATTCCTCTGATTGATGAGCACTGATTAAAACTATATGGAGCAAGAAGTAAAAGATAAAGAAATAAAGATTTATGCATTCTATCTTGGTAAAAATTAAAACATATATATATATATAAAAAAATAAGAATAAAATAAATACATAAAGTTTAAGAGAGAAAATTCTTGTAGAACAGAACCAACATGGCATGAAAAATATAAATATATATAACTATTAATTCTTAGCATTAATTATTTTCATGTTTTTATTTTTAAAACAAGTATGATTAAAAAGCTATTATTTTTTATATGTGTTCAATTTAAAAAAATAAGTAAATAACAAAACTACTGGATAAACCAAACAATTATAAAAGGTTCTTAAAGTTTGTAGATCCACATATTAAACAATTTTTCATGAAATTTTTGCTAAATATGATTTGTTTGGGAGCGTTGACGACTGAAAAACTAAAATTGAAAATATCTTTCAACATGCTATAAATTAATTATACAGAGTCCAATACATATTTTATATTGCTTAGTTCATACAATCAAAGTTTAGTGTATTGTCATTAAAATTTGAATTTCTGAAGAGAATAATGGTTTATTAAAAATGATCATTCTTACATAAAAAAAATTAGAGCTAAATTGAACTCAGCCATGGTTATAACTTACATGCCCAGGAAAAAAAGATAGGTAACTTTTCTTGATCTTTCTACTTGATAACCACTTCTTCAATGCTCCATAGAATTATGTCAAATTCATTACTGTACATCTTTTTTTGTTGTAGAAATGAGCATTTAAGGGATTCCTAAACACCCTTATAAGTTATTGTATTTTGTATAAGAAATATAATTCTAATTCTCAAAGAAAGACACTTACCCTCATGGCTATCAATATTACGATGCAGATGATCCCTGCAATAGTGTCCCAGAGTTGTATATTAGATATATCTTTAAAAATAGAAGTCCATATTTCAACAAATGTTGAACCCTGTGCTGTGATTCCGATTAAATCTTTAATCTGAGACGATACTATCAGGATTGCAACTGCAGAAGTAAATCCCGATGACACTGGGCCTGATACGAAGTCAATGATGATACCTGATACATCAATAAAGTCACAATAAGAGCTCAATGTTTAAATTAAAAAAAAAAAGACTGATGATCCAATAATTTTACTTTATTAGTAATTTCATCAATGAGATCAAATCAAATAAAACAAAAAATCTTATCAGCCTTCCTTTTCTAGTGAGATCCCATCACTTATATGCAAAGCTTTCACAAGTTTACAAAAATAAAAAACTTTTGAAATTTTTTATTAAAAAAATACTCAGGCTACCAGTAAACACACTTAATTATTATGTTTTTCACCTTTCGTTCGGTTACTCATTCTATATATAATATATATATATATATATATATATATATATATATATATATATATTGCAATATACACCTTTATTGGAAGTTGGTAAAAATGGTTTAGTATGTTAATGTTGAACAGTTAAGCAGTTAAATAAGCTAATCTAGTTCTGCTAATGTCAGGGGTTGTTTAAATTTGAAAAATAGTTTCGCTACTTCAGGAAAAGAAAATAGCTGCTCTGTAATTCCCCAAAAAGGAAAATCGCAAGGAGGGGAGGAACAAAGGGGTAGAAGAGTCATCAGTCCTACCTCCAGTCGGCATGAAATGCCTCCAGAAATCTGACAGGCCTCACATACCTGGGGAGAGAGAGGGGAGAGACTCGGGCAGCATGGCTTTCCCTGTGGATGGTCACCCATCCAAGTACTAACCACGCTTGACGTTGCTTAACTTTGATTACCTATTGCAAGAGCCTTAGCCCGTACGGCTCCCCCCGGTCCCCATATATATGTATATATTTTCAGGATATTGCCAAGATAGGTCGAGATACCCAATTTAGGCCCGGTTTTATGCCCCCAGCAGAGGCCAAAGTTTTCAAGAAATCAGCAGTGATAATGGAGTGAGATGTATCAGTGTGGCAGCAGCTAAGGTCTAGTAGAGAGATGTACAATGTTCCCACATAAGGACCTACTTAAGTATACTTGAGAAAGTCCTAAAGGAGCAAAAAGCCAAATTGACCACGTGCTGATAGACAAGAGGCATCAAAGCTCTTTACAAGACATAAGGAGGTATCGTGGAGCAGACTGTGACTCGGACCATACTCTGATTAGAATCAAACTCTGCCAGAGGCTGAAGCGAATCCACCTAATTGAGGATAAAGTGAAAAGAAAGAGGTATGAAGTCTGTAAATTGAAAACACCTGAAGTACAGACTGAATTCCAAATTGAGCTGAAAAATAAATTCGAACCCTTGAACACGAAAGGCCTGACAATTGACCAACATTGGGAGGCAATAGAGTCAGGGCTAAAACCAACAGCCAAGGAAGTAATAGTGATTCAGGAAAAAAGAAAAGCCAAGAAATGTTGACAGAAGCATGCAAAAAGGTGATAGAGAAAAGAAGAAAAATTCTCTGCTTAGCAAAAACTGATCAAGCTATGCTGGACAAATACACAGCCAACAGGAAAAGGACAAACAAAATGACAAGAACAGCAAAACGAGAATTCATGAAAGAAAGATTGCAAACTATTGAGGGAAACTGGCCGGCTGAAAATATGTGCAAATTCTTTGCAGATATCAGGAAAGAAAGGGTAGGATACAAAAGGAGAAATAAGCAAATGTAAGGGAAAGGTAGTAACTTGACAGCATCAAAAGAAAAGATCCTAAGCATTTGGAAGGAACACTTCCTGCACCTCCTCAATCGAGGACACCGCACAAACAAAAAAGAGATGGACCATACTGAGGACATCGACCCATTAGAGGTTGAAAACCCAGATATTCTGGATGTGGAAATAGCTATTGGCAGACTTAAAAGAAGCAAGCCTCCAGGGATGGAACAACCTACCATTAGAATTGTTCAAGGATGGGGAAGAACCCCTCAGAGCCAAGCTGTTAGATCTAATACAGAAAATAATGGAAGGAGGAACGGATATCAAAAGCCTGGAACACAAGGCTGATCTGTCCTAACCTTAAGAAGGGCTCCATGTACGAATGTGTAAATTACAAAGGCATAACACTTCTTCCGGTTGCCTACAAGATAATGACTAATATTCTACTAAATTGGATATATTCATATTATGAAAACACCAATCAGGATTCAGGAGAGGAAGGAGTAAGCTAGACCAGATATTCATACTAAAACAAGTACTCGAAAAACGAAGGGAAGTAGATCAGGATGTACACACCTTATTTGTCGACTTTCAACCAGCCTATGACTCCGTGGACAGAAACTGTCTTTTGGAAGATCATGACTGAGCAGGGTGTTCCAGGGACACCACAAGTGAGATTGACGAAGATGTATACAATTTATTCTAAATTCAGGGTAGTAATACAAGGAGAAGTATCTGAAGTATCTCCTTACAATAACAGGACCTATCTGGGATCAGAACCTTAATACATGGAGGGGAAGAAGGAACAACAAGGAACTGATAAAAGAAACTGATCAATCAATATCTCATAATATGAAAGGAAGGAGATTAAGATGGGCACAATGTAGCTCGAAAAGACTCCTTTATACAACAATAAATGTCACAGTAGGCAAGAGACCATGTGGGAGGCCAAAAACCAGATTGATAGATAGGATAAACAAAGATACGGCTGAGCTTCATGCTGCAAACTGGAAAGAAGTAGCCAACAATGGGCATACATGAAGAAGGCTAGTTCAGGCAGCCAAAGATCTACAAGGTCTGTAGAGCCAATTGAAAAAAAAATTATTATTTTTACATTTATTATTAAAATATATATATATTTTTTCCACTGTCATTACAGACCATGTAGATCTTTTGCCGCCTTAACAAGCCTGCTTCATCTCTAATTTAGACAGTCCAATCTTTCGAGGCTTCTTTTCAATTTTGATATAAGATATTTTTTACAGGATATGGTTATTAGTCCTCTGACCAATCTCCAACTTGAAGGACCAGAAGCTATGTTGTAAGATACAGGGGTCGCTCACCTCTGTGAATCTCTGGATGGGAATGTTACCGTCCCCATGCAGGAATCGAACTCGTGCCATAGTGGTCGAAGTATTCATAAGCATTGCTATAATCGAAGAATACCAAATTGTAAAACGTTTAAGGCCATTGAAAGATGCCTTAGGTATAATGGCACACTAAAACCTATGCAAATAAACGCTGGTTGACAAAGATTTCAACGAACTGCAAATGTTGAAGAAGAAATACTTGATGCTGTTCAGTTATCTCCTACTACTAGTACCAGAAGATTGTCATGTCATTTCGATGTCTCCTCTACTGGCGTATAGCGAACTTTATGCGAACAATAATTGTATCCATTTCATTTATCGAGTAAGCAAGATTTTTTACCACAAGATTATAACAAGCGCAGATATTTCTCCCAGTAGTTAACTCGAAAATGCACACAATATCCTACTTTCCTGAACTGCATTTTGGTTACTGATGAATCTTGCTTAACAAGAAAGGGGATCAATTTTCGAAATGCCCATACTTGGGCTAAAGAAAACCTTCGTATGACTGCTGTTGGACATTAACAACATACCTTTTCTTTAAATATCTGGTGTGGTCTTCTAAGCGACAACATTATAGGCCACTTCTTTTTGCCACCAAGGCTGTCAGGTATATCTTACTTGCGTTTTTTTGCAAAATAATCTTCATGAACTCCTAGGCAGAAAGGCACAGTAGCCAAAGGCTGTGTTTTATTCATGTCGGTGTTCCAGCTCACTTTTCTAATAGTGTCACTAATTATTTAAATGCAACTTATGGAGGTTGGTCGAAACGGACCTGTTAAATGGCCACCACGATTTCTGGATTTAACACCATTAGATTATTTTATGTGGGGCTGAATGAAGTCTATGGTTTATTCTGCAGCAGTTGGCATGAAAGAAGTGCTAAGAAATTGGATCATGGAAGCCACAGTAACTTTTTTTTTTTTTTTTTTTGGGTCCTTCCCTTCCTCAGGATTTTCCCGGGCCAGGGGATGTGGGCGGGGATTTAAAAGACTCCCCCGGCACCGGGACGCGAACTCGTGACTATTTTTATATCTTTGATTCATATGTCAGGTTGCTGGGCAACGGCGGTTCAGTGCACACGCTTTAGCCCATTCGGCCACCCCGCCCACAATAACTATCCATATAAGCCACAGTAACTATCAAGCACCATCCTGGATTCGTCATGCTGAATGTTGCATTCAACAAAACGGAGGCCCCTTTGAACAGTTACTCTAAATGTTGTAATAATAATAAATAAATAGTAATAATAATAAATAAATAGTAATAATAAATAATAAATCTTTAAAAAATAGTATTTTTAATTAGTAAGTAGTGTATTTTTTAGTATTTATTTGACCGCACTCCTCTGGCCAACTCCTCCTCATATTATACCACGGTCAATCATCTCTAGATCATTAATAAATCTTTAACCTTTGATATCTGTTTAATATATGAGTTTGAGATATATGTTAATATGAACTTTTTTGTTTATTTTATTTTAGTAAACACATACCTAAAATAGTGAAGTGCAATTAATAAACACCCTGTATATGTATATTATATGTATATATGTGTATATGTATATATATATATATATATATATATATATATATATATATATATATATATATATATATATATATATACACACACACATATATATAAGCAATGCCTATGGGACGGATTCGATTCCTGCATGGGGATGGTAACGTTCTCACCCAGAGATTCAGAGAGGTGAGTGACCCCTGTATCTTACAACATAGCTCCTGGTCCTCTAAGTCGGAGATTGGTCTTGGTCATGGAGGTTCTAATAACCCTATCCCGGAAAAAAAAATCTTATTAAGAAATTGAAATGAAGCCTCCGAAAATTGGACTGTCTAAATCAGAGATGGAACAGGCTTGTTAAGGCGACAAAAGATCTACATGGTCTGTATGTCAAAAGAAAAAAATAAATCAGTATTTTTTTTTCGATTGGCTCTACCGATATATACATATATATATATATATATATATATATATATATATATATATATATATATATATATATATATATATATATATATATATATCTGTATTGTGTATATATATATACAATAATGTAAATTTATAAAAAGTAAAAATTAACAAAATAATTAACCAATTAGGATCTCTTTTCTTCACTGCAAAAATACATAAGCTGCATAATTACTTTATCAACAACAAATTTATTTGTTTATTGTGATGTTAGTTAACTTTTCATAAAACACTTAATTATGTTGTATGTATAGGAACTATAATTAAACCATTGAACATTTGCATATTGAAATCATACCTTAATATAATGAATTCTGAAAAGAGGCACATACATTTGTTGGCAAACGAGTCAATGTCATAAAATACATTGTGGTACAATAAAATTAATTCTCTGTTAGTTAAATATCAAATGATACCCTCATTGACAACTGACAAGATAAAATAATGAGAAGAAATATTTCAAAATTTGTTGAAAAACATTGAGATACGGGTATTACAAGAATATAAGTAATCAATCATTAAGAAATACTATTAATTATAAATAATTAAATCCCCAAATGGATGCATCATATACAAATAATAAATTCAGTACATGCCTAATATTAATATTAATTGAATTTTAAAAGTATAAGAGGAATTGCAAATACCTTAAATACAAGAGTATGTTAAACATGTTAAGAGACTATTTTACCTTTGCAATTTGAGAATGAGGTAAAGCATTGTCCATGTTATGGAAATTTAGTAAGGCACTGTGATATTGTTCATAGGTGGTAAAGAATCTTTCCTCTTAGTTGAAATTACGCAGTTTGATTTTAGTTTTCCATTAATACAACCACTTTTCAATGTCAAACAAATGATTCTATACTTGAAATTCTGTTGCTGTCTAGTCAGCAAAGGTGAATAATTCAGATTTGAAAGTGAAGATATACAAATATCAATTCTAAGTTTAATAATAAATACATGCATTTACCTAATCCAACTATTCCCATTAAAAGTTGTATTACACCACTTAAGAAACACAGAAGAATTCCATATTCTGGACCAAGACCATGTAATGTTTGGAAAGTCAGAATTGAACAAATAGCTGTTGGTCCCATTGGAACATCTTTACAGCTGCCGAGAAAGATATACATAAGTGCACCAAGAAAAGATCCATACAGACCATACTAAAATAAAATAATGAATTGATTATAATAAACGGTAGAGTAACAAAAGTATACATCAAACAAATATTACATCTGAAAGGAAAAAATCTGGTGCAGTGCGCGCATCATACAACTTTCACTTACTCTTCTTAGCAGAAATAAGTATTTTCCAACTAATAGAAGTGAAAGTAAAAAATTATAGACGGTATGAAACATTATTTAAAATATCAGAAGGATTTAATCAGGGGAGGAAGGTTTAAGGTAATTAAGGTTTAATTAAATAATTACTATATTTTAATTTAGTATTTATTTGACCGCCCCCCCCCCTCCTCGATTAACTCCTCATATTATATCAACGGTCAACCATCTCTACATCATTATTTAAAATAGTTAATTACAATATATTTTTCATACCCATCTTATGTATTATATTTATTATGTTTGACTCTAGCTATTTCCTTTTACAATTGTATATTTCAATTATTTAATTACTCTAAATAATTAAGTGCCACGAAATATTTTTAGTCCAACAAGAGTGCCACTGATAATGAAGGCTGCTCCATTGTGGGTATTTTTGTTTGTTTAAGGACCGGTATATATACAAATTTTATTTTTTTTTATCACTGTAAACTATACAATTAAATATTAAATAATACGATTTTTTTTTCTTCACTCTCTCTAAGAAATTTTAATCAACTACTGCATATATATACAATATATATCATTACGACTATCTAATTATTATATCATACAACAAACTAATTGGAAAACTACATATGTTTATGAAGATAATATTGTCGGAGTCACAGACGAATCTATGGGGGAGAGGGCTTTCGGTCCGGAGTTCCTCCCACCCTCCCAAAAATGTTAAGACATAACCATGTCTTATGAAATAAATATTAAAAACCTATCATAAAAAGTATTATTGTTCATGTAATTTCATTTATTAGAACTTCAACAATCAATTAAACACCATTTCATATAGGTAATTAGTTAATTTCTTTTCTTTTCAATCAAAGTAGTTATCCTTATTCATAAAAGAAAAACCTTTCGGGCCGCCCTACGCCCGGTCGGTGTGAGTTCCCACCAGTAGGCTGACGGGATATATATATATATATACATACATACATACACACAGAAGGTGTTTCAGGTTTAAGTGGTCAAACTGCATAAAAATATTTACTCTGAAGGTGTGTTCTCAAACGCTTTGTTAAGGAGGTATTCATACCTAAAGATTTCCGTTGTTACGAATTATTTACGTTATAAGAAATAAATAAAACTTATTTATTTGCTCTAACTACTTTATTAATTAAATGTAAACATTAATATTCATATTAAATGTTATTCAAAGTGAAGGTATGGATAATAGACAAATTCCTTGCCATCTCGACTCAATGCGGACACATTTTAGGAATTTCTTAACAATGATTACTATGATTTAGTTGAACATATTACACTATGGTTGTTATGCACATTATGGAATAGGTTCACGACAATGACTAAATGTTAATTCGCCCAATCAATAGATTGGACTTGCAGGACCAGTGGCTTGGCCAGCACGTTCTTCAAACCTGACACCACTGGAGTTTTTGTTTGGTGTGACATTAAACAAAAATTCTATGCAAGACCGATCAATGACCTTAATTTCTAACGAAGAAGAATAATTGAATCTTATGAAACAACAAAATATATCCAGTGCCGTTCTATCACTGCTGCTCTTAATGCTGAAGGAAATCACTTTGAACAACATTTAATATGAATCTTAATGTTTACATTTAATTAATAAAGTAGTTGGAACTAATAAATAAGTTTTATTTACTTAATATAACGTAAATAATTCATAACAATGAAAATCTTTAGGTGTAAATATCTCCTAAACAAAGCGTTTACGGACAAACCTTCATAGGAATTTCTTTTCTTCTTTTGAGGTCCTTAATTCATATTTTCAGTTTAGCCACTTAACCCTGAAACACCCTGTAAAACACATTGAAAATGCAAAATCCTTAGTTTTTATTTAATTTTTACTTTTACTTACCTATATATGTGATATATAGTAAGGGTAAGTATTGCAATTATAAAAATTTTCGAATCTGAGTTTTCAATAGAAATACACGTTTTAAGGTATCCTGAGCCCAAATAATCAAGTCCCAAAAAATGGTCTGTGTGCCTGTGAACACTCTAGCTCGAAAACGAAAAGTCGTAGGAAACTGATATTACGTATTTAAGATAGGTATATGCCTTAGGTGTGAGAGCAACTTTTTCCTTAAAATTGGCTAACCGGAAGGGCCACTTTATATCAACGCTGAAACACATTTTTACAATTTTCTCAAAAACGGCTCTAACGATTTTGATTAAACTCGGTGCATCATTGTATAATTAAGTGGTCTTTAATAATATTTTACGTAAATCACATGTTTTCAAGGAAGTTAAATGAAATTTACTAACTAAATGTAACTTTTTAAAATATTTTTAAGTTTGAATTTTAAAGTATTTAAAATCCACCTAATCAAGGCAATGACTTTGTTTAAAATACTATTTCATTGTACTTGTGTGAAAGAAGAAGTAAAATATAAAATCATTTCATGGAAATATAACGTATATATTCATAACCTTAAATACATTTACTGATGTTTATTGATTATAGATCTGATATTATACTTAAATAATTAGATATCAACGTTTATTTCGAAAAAAATATCATGTAACTTTTTAGAAAATTAAATTAGTGAATAATTTGATGAATTTTCTCTTTGTTAAAGCCCAACATTATTATGTCTTCCTCTAAAGTACTTTTAGTTTGGTTTATTATAAATGATAACTATTTATCATTGTTGGGAGTTATAAAAAAATGCTAAATATAACTTTTGGAAGAATTTGATAATTAAATAAAGGAGAAAAAAACTTAATCAAGTTGAAAATGAATATTTGTAAATAATAGTCAGAAGGCATACGTGTAATATATCGTTGGAAAGTGGAGAATTAAAAAACAACAATATATAATATAGAAAGTTGTAGAAGGTAACAGAAATTGACGAAAAAAATATAAATAATAATTTCTAAAAATTAACATTATTTAACGTAAATCAGGTGTTTTCAAGAAAATTAAATGAAAACTTCTTACTAAACGTAAGCTTAATTTTTTTTTTTAATTTGAAAGAAATATAAATAATAATTTCTAAAAATTAACATTATTTAACGTAAATCAGGTGTTTTCAAGAAAATTGAATGAAAACTTCTTACTAAACGTAAGCTTAATTTTTTTTTTTAATTTGAATTAGTATTTAAAATCCACGGATCATAAAATCCATAATCAACCAATGATACAATCCATAATCAACCCGTGATATAATAATTAGGACTTTTGTTAATTTAATAGTATTTATGATTTGTTAGCTGTAATCTTTTAGCTTGAGCTCAGTAAAAAATTCAATTCAAAAATTTTATAATAGGCTAACATGGACAGAAAATAATTTCTATTCAAAGTTGAGCGGTAAGTGAAAGTATGCGTATTGCACGCAAAAGATTTTTTTATATATTTTCCTTAATAATGGGTATAAATATAAAAATAATCAATGTATATATATATTTGTATATACATTTTTTCCCGCCTTATATTTTATTTTGTTCTTATTTCTATTTATTATATTGTTATTATTTTATTTATTGATATTTCTGTCAAAAAGGTGTGAATGTGCTCTCTGAACTCTAATACAAATGTCCTCAATTGAGAAATATTGTAATATTTCACAATAAACAAGTTATAAAAAAAAAAAAAAAAAAAAAAAAAAAATAGCATTGTATGGGGAAGGAATGTATATAATTGTAGAGAATATGTGAAATGTAGAGAAATTCTTTAGGGAATGAAGAAAAAGCTTAATATTTTAATACAGATTTAAACTACATAAAAACTACCTCTGCAGGAAGTCCTGCAATATTAGCATACGCAAGAGACTGAGGTATGACAGTCAATCCAACAGTTACACCAGCAACCAGATCACCAACTGCATCTTCAGTACTATATGATTTCATCCAATTGAGAAAGGGCAGCCTTCGTGTTATAGTCTTGACTGTACAGAAACGATTGAATTTCCTTTCAACCCAAGGATAAAATGAATCCACTTTTTCTTTAACACTGACTTTCCTTTTACGACCAACTGTTTCAACCACTGTAAATACAAAACTCCACATTACATAGTATCAACAACAGTAATTAATAATAAATTATTTTTGCCATGAAAGTTCTTAAAGTACATCTGAAATTATGGATTCATAATTTCAAAATAATCATTATACAGAAGATAAAAAATGAAAGTATCTTTTATCATGAATAAAGTAACTAAATAACAGGAACTTTTATCATTATTATTTTAATTGTATTAAACAATATTAAACATAATTTTAATTTTTACTTTGTCCAGGAAAAAAATGAATAATTTTAAAAAATTGAATATTTACACAAACGTAAATTTTATTAAGAAACATTAAGTTTGTCTACAGGCATCAATTCCTATGATGGAAATCTGTGAGAAAAATACAATTTCATAAACACCTTACATGAAAAATATATGAAAAATCATTATTTTTAAATTTGTTACTTTTATGAATAAAATGTTTTTTAGACAATTATATTGATTTCAGTACATCTCATTACACCAAAAAACAATAAATAAAAGCTTTGCAACTGTTAATTGTAGTAATTTTCGCTGAAAACAAGGGTACTTTTAGGTGACTGGATAGAAAAACACATCGTTTCTTCACACAACTTGCGGTGAATCTCTATTTTTTTTCGAAATCAACATACACTTTTCTTTTTTTTAAAGCGGCATGAGTGCACTGCGGCCATGTAGGTCTATTGTACGCAACCTCAACTTAATTAATCTGAACTCAAAGCTTATTAAACGAGGAAGTTTATCTGTGGGGTGAAATGTAGTACAGTTGAATTGAAGGGTGATATAAAAAAAAAGTAAAAATTACAAATAATTTATGACTTTTTAAAAAACAGAATTTAGCTGTGTTTATCCGTTGAATAATCCTCTTTAAATAGTTTTAACAATGTTAAACTGTAATTTCGTTTAAAGTGAATTTTGTCTAGTTTGCCATTCAGCAATGTTTAATTATTTTAATAATTTTTTTTTTAAATTATAAAAAAAAAAAGCTGCCTATAAAAAAAAACCTGACTCACTTAAAAAAAAAACACAAACATTAAATTTACTACTTTACTGGAATTGTGCAGTTGTTTATATGGACTTTTTTGTAGATCTTGATTAACATTTTAAATATTTCTCTCTACTTACGGTATATATATACCTTTAGTGTATGTAATTAATCTGTTTCGCAAGTGCGCCCCTCTCCATTCACACAATTCCTGGATCTGCCACCGGTTGTATCTCTATGATTTCTCATAAGTTTAAAATAAATGATAATAATAAAAAGTAATATAACAGGTTATCTATCTTAGGTATTTTAGGAAGAGATTGCGTCCTGAAATAAACATTAGTGCCCTTCGAAAAAATTAAAAAACTCTTCAGTAAAGTAATATCAGAAAGCATGGATACGGTATGGTTGATTAAAAAAAAAATTACATTCTATTTCATTGTGTTTAAAAATTCATAACTCTCAACTGCTCAGATATAAGAAAAACCTGATAAATCTCTTTGGTTTGTCATTCTGTCTAATATTAATTTTTATATTCTACGTGTAATTGTAAAGAAAAATAAATGTTATGGTCAATTTTTGAATAAATCTTTTTAAAAAACCCGCATCTCTGTGAAAATTATGTTAACCACTTAAAAGGGAGTCAAATATTTTGTGAGGGACTTGATTTATAGAATATCCGTTAGGTATTGCTCATTAGAATTCTATTTTTTTTTTCGATAAATACAACAAGATATGCTTAACAATCCATAGGTATTGATAACCTCATGAATGCCACAGCTGCTATCATAATGTTCCTTCAATTTGAAGTATAGAAATAATTTCTATTTTAATTTCTAGGACAGCGGCTGATCCAGGAAATTTCTAAGTGGGGGCACATTTGTGATTTTCTTAAGGAGTCTAGTCCATGAATGAAGTTTGTTTTCTATTCTATTCTAAAAATAAAATTTATACCATGCACTGTAATCTTTATTTAAAAAAAATATGGATAGTGGATTACGTTGCATCATAAATCGTAAAAAAAAAAAATACACACTAATTGTGATATTATATGTGAAAACTCACAAATGAACTCGTTGCTTCCGATGTTAACTCCATCGTGATCGAGATGGCGGAATTTGGATAATGGTAGAGGAGTTGTATTGGTCGAATCATCGATCATTTTCGTAGGCATCCTGTTGTTTTAAAATCTATTTACATAGTTCGAACCTGAAATGTCAAAAAAAAAAAAAAATAATAAAAATCATCTATAAATTTAATAATATAATAATTAATATTTTTGCATAAAAGTGAGTCCGGAGTGGGTCAGTCACCAGCAAGGGTTTGCGCGATCAAAATAATTGAAGAGGTTAGATTTTGATTTTGTGAGGGGGGGCATGTTTTGATGGGATTATAATTTAGAAATGAAAAGTTTCAAACCAGTTAACAAGCGAATAAAAATGGAACTTAACAATATATATAAAGTATTTGTATTTAATTTATAACTTTTAAAATCATCCTTTCGCTACCACTATTTTTGAAGATGAGAGCAATAAAGTATCTTGGGAGGGATGAGGGGCATGCGACATTGACCTTGGGGAGACGGACACCCCTCCCTGGTCATCAGTTTTGATCAAATAGTTTTTGTTGATCGAAGCTAAATAAATATTTTTCCTATTTTCTCCTTTATTCAATTATCAAAGTCTTTCAAAACTCATCTTTAGATTTTTTTCACTATTTATAAAACATTCTGTAAAAATAATAACAATAGTTATTATATAAAAGAGTTCATTTACCTATTGCTTTAAAATTAAAGTATCTCAAAAAATACTACATTAAAAGAAAGACTCTAAAACACGGATTGAAACATTTTTTTTAATTTACAAATGAGTTAACATTTAACTGTGTGAAAATAACTTTTATCAATAAGAGATCAAATGTAAAAAATTGTTCATAACTGTTAAATAAATGTTTTGACCTAAAAAAGTGTTTACGATTTCAATACATATATAAATGTCATAAAAAAGTATTTGTTAAACTTTTATTTATTCTATTTAGAACAAAAGTACAGACAAATACTAATTATAATAGAAGTTCATAACTATTACACTGATCAGCACTCAAAGTGGAAAACTAATATATTCTGGTGCTCCTGGAAAATATTTCCATGTTAACTTATAGAACGTTATACAATGCTAAGTTTTATATGTTAATCAAAATTGTTTTATTAGAAACGTAAAATATTTATGCTTGGAAAAGATTATTTTACTCGAAATTGACACTGCCACCTGTTTCGATAGGTCTATCATGAGAGTTACCTTCAAATAATTCACGATGATTATATCACCATTAAAACCTAAGCTATGGTATTTTTTGTACTTTTTTGGCTTTAAGACTTGTAAAATGAAGTCCTATTTTGTCAGTAAAATATTTTAATTGTCATAATAAGATGAAATGACACTGGATTTATATTAATTATTTATAGTAAGATGATTACTGAAAGTAACTTATATGGAACTTGGATATTAGATATTATAGAAACAAGAAAGACTAATAGTTAAAACTGGCATCAGTTAAAACCTTAGTTAAAAACAGGCATCAGTAGTCAAAATCCTACAAAATAAAAAAAGAAGCAACAAAATCGGTTCACTAGTTTCCGAGAAATCTTCGCACAGACAGACAGACATTGTTTTTTGGACCCAAGGGGCTCTGAAACGTATAGATCCGTTGAAAACCGCGTATCGGAAATTTGACCCGATTGCAATAATTTCCTTACCTAGTTAAGGTAGGAAAGTAAAAAAGCATTCTGAAAGGAAATTTTATTGGCTACATTTTTAGATAGATTTCCTTTGTGACTCGTCGTTTTTGAGATATAACTGAACAAGCAAAAAGAGACCTTTACAGCACTCCTCCACCATGAAGCGGCTGTAGGTAAGACAGACCCCATTTTATCAAATTATTAAATACGTCTACAAATTTGTAAATAGCTTCTTCTCATCGTAACTAACAAATATTTTTTTTACGATAATTCTCGGAACTGGGGCGTGTAAGCGTTTAAGCTGGAGGTCGTCCAACTTTGTCTATTCAATTAGTTAATAAAAACTCGTAAGTACCCATTTGCTTTCTGCTTAAATCGTAAGATAACTCGAGCACAAAGTCAAGTCCACCTCCAGCTTGAAAACGCCCCAATTCCGAAAAATTTCGTAAATAAAATATTTGTAGGTTACGCTGAAATGAAGCTATTTACGGACTTTCAACCGGATGTTAATAATAATTTGATAAAAGGGATCTGTACCACGAACTATTTATTTGGCATTCATCGACCGGATTACAGTGGGTACAAAAAATGAAAAAAGGTCAACAAGCACACTGTTTCTCAACATGGCTCTAACAGTATTAGAGCCACAATAGTAAACTGTTCTAACTAAGGTGTATCGGTAAACAAAAGTATTAGCACAATCCAATGTCAATCTCCAATTTTCTAATGGTTACTTGAGGAACACTTAGATTCTTCGCGTCAATATTTGAAGGCCATTTCTATGTCTTTTTGTTTGGTTTATTTAATATATTAAAATATACTGCTCAAAAATGAATTTCTACTTTAATCTTATTTTAATTAATTCTATTTGATTCATTTTAATTAAAATACCTTATTTTTGTTAGTTTTTTAGGGATTCTTTTATTTGTTGGTAAACATAAAAAGTAAACAAGTATTGAGTCCCACTCAAAAATCCAAGAAAAATATTTTTTTAAATTACTGTTCTTAAATGGTAAAGATTTTGTCTTTCATATAAAAATATTTATAAATTGTAATAACACTCAACCACTACCATGGAGAGGATACAGTCTGTAGGTAACCGAATTCAACCAATTTTTTTTTCCTATATGTAAATGTTATTATCGAAAAGCATTAAACATGTATCCTGCCGTTCTTTCCATTTGGCCATTGCAGCCGAGAAAAATAATGTTTTTTATAATTTCAAAGGCAAAAATTTCGTGCAGCAAATTTTAATTTTTCGCTGGTATAAAATTTCGTGTTTAAGGGTTTTTCGAGGTGCGAAAAACAAATATCAACATTGTTTTTTTACTAAAAAAATATTAACTTCCACATTCGGTTGATCTAAATTATACCCATAATTATAACTATCTGATACATAAAATATTTATTAAAAACCGGTCTGGTATCTAGACTAAATAATTTTTTAGGGAGAAACAAAGTTAATATTAGCTTTTCACTCCTCAAAAACTCTTAAATACGATTTTTTATAGTAATCAAAATATTAAAATTTTCTGCACGAAATTTTTTCCTAGGTTGGACTTCAAAATTTCGTCAACAATCACAAAACTTGTGATAACTTTAGAACGGAAAATTAATAGGGACTCAGGCCTCTGGTGCTATACGAACTGGTACAAACTCGATTCATTCTTTCATCATTTCTTCGTAAATAAATAAAAACTAATGGGTTAGATTGTTTTCTTAATTCATAGGTTGAAAAGAAAAATGAAATCCAACAGTTATTGGGGTCAGTTGGAAGAAAAGTAATTAAGCTCTCCAACGGTTATATTAAAGTTGAATTTTATGAATATCCTAAAGAGTTAGGAATGCTTTAGTTGATGAAGTTGATCGGAAAAAAACATCCAAGAAAATCAAGTATAAAGGTTATATTTTTTATTTATATAGCAATTATGCGACTAAAGCACTTTTGCTTAATGTCTACTGGGTTTAGCCCCAGTGACGCGGTTGAGAGGAAGTGCAGGGATCTCCTAGAGTCATGCTTTTCCTTCCACAGTCTGGTTTGGAGTTCTCTCATCAGATTGTAGATATGAGTATGAGTTATTTTATGAGTATGAGTTATGTAGATATAAGTATGAGTTATTTTTATTTATTTATTTTTAGGTTATTTTATTATTATTTATTGTATATATATTATTTTTCTGTATAATTTATTTTATTTATTGTACATAGGGTGTGAATGTGATCTCAGAACACTATTATAAATGTCCTTGAGACAGATTGTAATATTTTATTTAAGGACATTTATAATAGTGTTCTGAGATCACATTCACACCCTATGTACAATATATATATTGCTATATATATATATATATATATATATATATATATATATATATATATATATATATATATATATATATATATATATATATTTATATATAGCAATTCGTATTTAAGAGTTTAAAGGGCCCTAAAAAGGAATCTAATTTGCTTTTTCTAAACAAAACTTTACTTGGCCAACTTTACTGGAAACACTTAGATTTTTCTAATTTATGATGTATTATAACTCATTTAATACAATAGTTTATATGTATATTTTTTTTACTATGTCCAAAAAAAAAAGTAAGTTCAGTATAGCTTTCTCAACGTTTTCATTTGCTAAAAAATATCTATATTAAAAGGTCTAACAATTTTCTGATGAGAATAATATCTTTTCGGAAATTCAGTAACCCTCAACATATACGGGCTTCATATCCAAGAGTTTTGTTTATCAGCAAATACTAAAATGCGAAAAACTTCCGCATTTACAAATTGCATATTTGATAATTCGAAATTTAAAAAAAAATCCAGTGCATACTGAAGTATATATAAATTGATTGTCTTACAGGAGAGCACAAAAACTAATTATTTCTTTCTGATTTATTGATATAATTTTATATTTTATTTCCCTCTGCTATTTTGCATATTAGTAGACTACTTATATCAATCGTAGGCTACATAATGTCAAAAATAGAATAAAAATTGAAAACTTTTACATACGACCTTCGCACTAACAGTAGTGATACATACTTAATAGCTATGTTTTCATTCGTAAATTGGATGGAATAAAAAATCCATAAGAAAAATTCAAGTTTACGTTTGTTCAGAGTTAACGAGACTAATACTTTTCTTCAGTGAGAACAAAACTAATTAAGCTGGAATATAAAAATATGAGTGAAGTTAACATAATTTTGATATTTAAGAAGTAAATCGAGACCAAGACGAGCTGATTGAACTTCAATGGAAATAAACACAATCACAAATAAGACTTTTTTTTACTAATTAAGAGTAAAAATTACTTTAAATTTAGTGGAAATTACACGAAATCTATGTAACGGAAATAAGTGTCATTCCAGTAACGTTTGGAATCGACCAAACAATACTGTATAAATTAACTTTTTGGCCAATGGAAAAAAGTAATGTACTCTTAAAGCAGAGTAACTCTTTAGGCAGA